TCATCTTTTTAACTGTCTTCTTGTGTTGGAAAAAGGGAGATGGGCTTCACTCCCACCAGTGACTGATCAGCCACTACCACCAGTCCTGAGGTCAGTTATCACCTGGTTTCCACAAAACCAGCACGCAGCTCAGCTGAGTGGCAGATGGACCAGGATGCGTAAGAGCTGCGTACACACGTGAGCAGACAGATGGCCGAAGGAGTGCTATCCTGTGGGGTGTGGATGGACTCCTCCAGGAGAAGCTGCATAGAGAGATAGAAGGGCATGAGAGATATATTGAACTCTCTTATTTTGAAGAAACAGAACCGAAACCCTGAATACAAAGTCAAAAAAAAAGAGAGGTTTGTAATCCCGTGGCTACGTGGTATTGTTTTATGCATGCTGGGGAGTTAGCCTACTGGCTTACATGATTGCTTTTGGCACACAAAAATATTTTGTTCTTTGTAGCTCTCTGAAAAATATGTAAATATTCCACTCTTGCCTGAAGCAGCATTATAGACATGTATAGCAGCAATTTTATGATGAACGCTTTAAAAATCCCACTATGATAGCTAAATTACTTTAAAACACCAAACACCAAGGAAGTTGCGTAGAGTTGAACCTATGAACATAATTTTCTACAAATGCACAGAATTCTGACTGCAGATTTACTGATCTGGAATAGATTGGAGCCATATCATACCTCTGCTGGGGTCCATTTTTTCATTTCCATCATATGGTGATTTTATCTATAGAACGCAAATTTCCTATTAGTTAACTAACTGATTAACACAGTGAGTGGTTTTCTACCTAATTTGCTGAGGCACACAGATGCTCAGTTAGGTCTTCGGCATAATGTACAGTCATTGTAGTGCAGGGAATACAGTACACCTGCCCTCAGTTTTATTTTTTTGCTCCAGCCATTCACATTTCCTGTTGACAAAACCAACCTGGAGAAAAACACAACTTTATTTTAGAAAGCTCCTGGTTGTTTTTGCAATTAAAATATTGCTGAAAAGACCCTAAAGTATTGTATGTTGACTACTGTGCTGTTCTCTCTTCTTCATCCTCCCTCAAAAATAAGCCCTCCACAAAGTTGCATGTCTCTCGCTTTTATTTGCTTATTCTATCTGGGATTTAAGAGCTGTTATTGAAATCAAAGAGGAATTCATATCCATAAGCAAGAGAGGCTATGTTCTTAAGTGTGATCAAAAAAAAACCAAACCAACACAAAACAAAAACACAGTCTCCTTTTATGTCACATTTGCTTTTCTTTATACGGTTCCCTTCTATTTCCTTAAATTAAATGGCAATTATCTTCTTTCATGCATGCAAGTTCTTTAGAACAGGAGGGAAATTACTAGGTACTAATCACTAGGATCCTTAGTTATTAGCTGCTGAACAGAAATGGGCATTCTTCCACCCGCTCTTGACCCTTATTTCAAAATAGAGCTTGTTTATCCTGAGAACTATGGAAGATATTTCCTGCAGAATGGGAATGCAAGAAAAAGAGAGTCTCAGGCAGAAATCATTATGCAGAATAGGCACCCTCTTGGTGCCATTGTATTTTTTTCTCTTCTGAAAGCAGAAAAGGTTTCTTTCTTGCTTACTAATTTTCTGGTGACATCCAGATGAGGTGATAAATAAAGTTCTATTTCATGAGTGCTTTTTATTTTAAGTCTTTAAAAACACAATCACTACAAAAACAAAGCACAAATCCAAACCTTGGAGAGGAAATCAGTAAACAGAGGACATGCATAATATATAAATAAAACAGTCAATTAAAAGATGAGAACTAGGAGTTTTACAGACATTAGCATGTGAAAAAGCTTGCAAATGCATGGATTGTTGTCTACTATTTCTATAAAGATTCTTAAAGTGTATGCTGCTTGAACAGTTTCTAATAATGGGTGACTGATTTGACTACCATCTGTGATGTGGTGGTTTTGTGTTTTGTTGTTGTTGTTTGCTTGTTTGTTTGATTGGGTTTTATTTCCATTCTTTTCCTGCAGGAGAATCTGCTGTGATGTTTTAGTTTAGACATTTTTGTCTGCTCTTGTTTGTGATGCCATATATTTGTATCGGAGAGCTCCAAGTGGAAGAAGTGTTCTTTGTGCTTTTAGTGGGAAGAGAGTTTAAATTTTGTGATCATCACTTCCTCGGGAAGATAGGGTAAGGGCTAGGTAAGGTGGATACTGCTCGAACATTATGTCAATGTTTGTTTCTGTTTGAAGGAGACTGGGAAAATTTCTCAGGATGATTCATCACCTACTGGATTCCCAAGAAGAGCCTGTGCCAAAAGTTTAGAGCTCCTTCAGAAAATCAGAATATTCACTTAATAAAGAGCTTTGGGAGGAGGGGCTGGTGAAAATCCTGAACTGTAAAAATACAAGCTGTCAGGGTAGATCCATCATGTCCAAGCAGGCATTATAGATTTATAATGGAGTAGGACATCACAATATTCATTGTTAACTTCATGGCTACTTGTAGATCCCAGGACATTAATAACACAGTTTCTTATTGCTAACCTTAGAATTAGATTTGACAGCAGTTATGGATCTTTACAGGTAGCCCTTTAGGCTACACACACATAGCCTCTACCAGGCAATCCTGTGGATACAGTTTAGTTTCTGGCCAAGCAGCACAGCCTGTATCCTATCTTCTGGCCTTTTGGAAGAAGCTGCGCCCAGTCTGCATTTAAGCAGGACTGACCCTCAGCATGAGAAGTATCCTGAAACCTTTTGTGCCCCTTTTTGCTGCAAATGTCCCTGCATGGTCTTCATAAGGGCACTGGCCTCATATACCTCTTCATTCCCTCATCATAACAGTTGGACAGTCATGCTAACAGCACAGTTGCTACTGGTGCTACTCTTCCTGGGGAAGCTTAACACCACAGACCTGTCTTTGGAGTCATCCAAACCCAAAATAAAAAGGCAAATCATCCACAGCAGCCTGGTTTCCCTGTATTCCCAGGTAGCTCTGGTTACAGACTGAAGTCAAAGTGTTTTTTTTTTCCAGTTAGCAGGCTTCCTTTTTCTTTCCTGTTTCCCACTACTGGTGTAACCCAGGCTCATCAAGCAGAGGAGGAAGAGCAGCCACTGGTGGATCTTTCCTGTCTTTCCTGTCAAGAGCAGGCGCAGAACCCTTGTGTGAGGAGTCCCACGTCTGAGGTCCTGCACGGGAGAGTCTCCCCTGCCCCAGGCTGACAGCATATCACTTTTAGGACCCCTCATGCCTCACTAACCATCAAGGGAGTTGTCCTCTGATTGCTCTGGAACATATCATTGGAGAGAGCCTCTTAAGGCTGGGAAAATCTGATGCTCACGTCTTGCAACATGAACCTGGGTGTCAACCCTTGCTGGGAGCTGTCTACCCAGGCATATGGCTGCAAGCCAGGATGTGGGAGTGAAACGTGGCAGAAATTCCTAGGGAAGCAGAAAACTTGAACTGCCCACTCTCTTACTCATTGAGTCAACAGCTAACTCTCAAAAGGCACATCCAGAAACAAAAGGCATTTAGTAAAAAAAACAAACAGAAAAAGAAGTGGTTCTCCAGCCACCAGCTCAGCAGCACTTGCCACAGTGCACAGGCCTTGTGCAAGAGCAGGCTCGGACACACTGCTCATGGGGTTGGACACCGTCGTTGCAGTCAGAGGTCACAGCATGGGTAACACGGTGAGCTGCCCCCACAGTGATCTGAGCCTGGCCTCAGGCTTTTTGGACTAGCAGGACCTTCTTCACGCAGGGAGCTAGACAAGCTCTTCTGCCACCTCCACAATGTCTTCACACAGATGCTGGAGAACTTCTCAGCAGTAAAGCTGTGCACAGAGCTACAGAGCACCCTGAGGGCACCACCAGCCCTGCCTCTCCCTGCCCACTCCCAGACCCAGGACCCAACATTAGCCCAGGGCCACCAGCCCCAGCTCCAGCAAGGCTGCAGCAGGGCCAGGCTACAGCTCCCCACAGCCCTGCCCTGCTGTAGGCCCATGTCCTGGCCAGGCCTTGTCCTGTCTCCATCCAAAAGGGAGGTGCCTGGTGTCAGGGCTGGGGCTGCCCCAGTGCCCTCAGTGCCCTGCTCCTGGTGGGGCAGGGGGATGGGATGGGCTGCCGGGCCCTGCCCTGATGTACCCACAGGCTGCCCTGACACCCACAGGGTGCACAGACACATTTTCAGTTGTTGCAAGGAACCTGCCCAGCAAACAGGTATGTTCCCTCTGATTCATCCCCTCTGCTGCTGTTACCTTGCCGCATAAACCCACTACATCAATGCACATCAGGCAGTATGGAGTTGTTATTTTATCTGTGTTCTACAGTAATTTACAGTTGTAGGACTGGGTGGTGATTTTTAAGTGAATTTTCATGCAGGAATGGTCACGCAGGAAGACATCCACTGGGAATTGAAACAAAAAAGAGTGCCAGCGCTCTGAGGGCTTCCTTCCATGCAGCATACACCACAGCCCTGGGCAGCTCCTCTGGGGCCACAGGAGCCTCACCTTTCCAGAGTGACTGAGAACGGGGGAGAATCAGCCACAAAATTTGGTAACGATTTTATCTGTAAAGACTAAGAAAGGGTCTAAATAGCTGCTACAAAACAAACAAACAAACAAACTTTTTTTTTTAATGGCTTTCTGATTTGTTTATTTAGAGCTGTTATAACACAAGTCCCCAGGCGTGGATCTGTGTCTTTCACAGGAAGACAAGTGCTTCCACATTATGTGCTGAAGAGCTGTGTGCAGCCACGGGGCTGATCCTGCCCCTACGCGGTGACAGCTGCCGATGAAACCCCTCCCTGCACCCCTGCTCTTGGAGCACTTTCTGGCGCCCTGCCCCCGCGCCTGCGCACACCGCCAAAGACGCCGCGCCCTCCCTCCTGCCCCGCCCCTAGCCCCGCCCCACTGCGGGCAGCCCCTCTTTCCCCGCCCCCTCACGCCGCGGGGAGTCACCGCGCATGCGCCGCGCATTCCCCCCTCACGCTCCTTGTTACGCTCGCGGGGACGGGGGCGGGAACAACGCTGCCTTCCTCGCCTCCCATTGGTCACCGGCCGGGCCGGGGCGGGTGCGCGCGCATCGCCGTGCCCGGGAGGTCGCTGCCGCTACGCTGCGGGCCGGGGGCCGCCTCCCCCCCCCCTCACACACACCGGACGTCGGTGGGGCGCGAGCCCCTGCGGTACGTTAGCGGCCGTTAGCGACCGTTGGCGGCAGTTGGCAGCCGTTGGCCGCCGCCGCGGGGGGAGCCCGGCCGCCCCCTCCCAGCCGTGGGCCCCGCGGGGAGCGCCTCGTCCCGGCGGGGCTCGGCTCGGGCAGCCCCGTCCCGGGGGGCGCCCCCTGCCCGGGTCCGGGTCCGGGTCCGGGTCCGGCTGGGCAGCGGCGGGGCGCGGGCCTCAGGAGGGGGGAGCGAACGCGGGGCCGGCCGGCTGCGGTGTCCTGCGGGACTTTGAAAACAAGCCGCGGTTCTGGGGATCTTGCCCTCTTGCCGCAGGAGCCCGTTAACGTCAGGATGTTGGGATTAGGAGCTTGGGGTGTTTGCCTCGCGGCTCCCGGCGCTTTGGTAGCGGTTGTGTCTGTGTTTCCTTAACAGTTGCGTGCGGAGGCTGAATCGGCGTGGATGTGTAAATATTTTCCTGTTGTGGTGACAAAGAAGGCGCTGTAATATGAGGTAAGAAATCTGCCGCCGTGTTTAAGCTCCTTATGAGGATCTTTATAACTGTCAAAGATAGTTTTCCTTAAAAACGATGAGTGCTTATTTGAGTACTTAAGCATGAGCATGTAGTCCTGAGTGTGTAGTCATTAGTTTCCCGGATAAGTCTAATGTTCTGTGATTTTGTTCTTCATGTATGTTGTTTAGCATGTGGACTTTATTTTCTAGTATTTTATCTATAAAATCTGTTCCTTGCCCAGGTTGTGGCAAGGAGCTGGAGTTGTATCTTGATTTACCTTAGCAGTTAGTCGAACTCAGTAAGCCTAAACATTTAGTTTGCTGATTGGTCTCACTGAAATGCATGGTGGCAGAAGTAAGGGCTCCTCTGCAAGTAGTTTGTATATCCAGCTCTCAGGATGCACAACTTCCTGGGAAAATAAAGTGTTCGGTCACTGGAGACTTCTAAAGGCAAAATTTGATACCTTAGTATCTAAACTATGTTTTATGTAATAGCAGTTTCAGACAGTCCTCTGCTAAGTTTGCTTAAAGTTTCATTCCTATGTAGGCTTTGGAAGAAAAGGAGGGGCACTCTGCTTGTCACTTCCCCACGCCCGCCTCCAAATCTCTGGTACATCCTGCACTTTTGTTTATGGTGTTTCTTTTGCTGTCTCCCTCCACCCCCAGCTTTGAGGGATTCCAGTGCTTCTACATCTATATCTGTCCCACAAGATTCTGAGCAGTAGTGAAATATAGCATTCCTGTTGATCTCCCTTTGTAACTGTCTGGCAGAATGAGCCGTAGTACAAGACAAATTCTTCACATCCTGCTTTGTGTAAGCTTTTTGCGTAGGGACGGGAGATAGTCTGTACAACTGCCTACTGAACAGTTAGATTTCTTAATGCATATGCCTGTGTCCAAAACTTTGCAAGTTTAGCAGTAACCGCACCGTCAAATTTCAGTGTGAACATTTAATTTTGCAATACTTATCACTGACTAATATAAATTCATCTCACAGAGTCTGAAAATAGCATCGAGAAAAACGACAAAATGAGTAGTCGTCGAAAGCGTGCACCTCCATCAAAAATAGATGATGTGAAGAAGAAACAGCTCTGCTGGAATATGCATGAAGACCGGAGAAATGAGGTGATAACATTAGATGATGAAATGACCAATGAGGATGATGTTCCAGGCCCAAGCACTTCTTCTTCGTCCTTCATTGTTATAAATGATGATAGCACTGATGAGGATCTCAGTCAAAAAGAAGACACCGGTTCAAAGTCTGTTAAATTTTTTACAGTTAACGACGAAGAAGACTCTTATTCCACCTTGACTTCTGTGTCAGTACAGCTAAATATTACCGTCCTGCCATACCGTGCAGATGGGTCCTGGAAAGCTTTGTTGGGAGAATTTGCTCTTTGTCATCCTTCCGAGCAGATTCTAGCTGAGGAATTCCATGAAAGGGGCTTTACTTTAATGAGAGGAGACTCTGATGATCACCTGCAGGTCTGTGTCCATAAAAAAAGCGAAGAAGAGTACAGTAACGAAACAAAGGAATACTTGGGTGCTTATGAACAAATTATTATGGTGGAACCAACTTTAGGTGGTGAAATATTGGAAGGCTTGAGATGGTTGCAAAAGAAAAAGATAATTGGCCTTTATCAAAGACCTGCAGAGGCTCAAGCTTTAAAGGTATTGATTCGTATATCTATTTTTGTTGGTTTATGTTTTAAAATTTCTTTTTTGTTGGAATTGGAAGATTAAACACTGCTGAACAACGAAGTCTGTCTTACAGTTTTATAATGTGATGAAATACATAGTTTCTGCATTCTTTTGCAAGTGTTTTTGGTGTGTTTTCTTCTTAAGACTGTCTTTACTGTTGCACCATTACTAACATTTTAATCAAATGAATTAAGGTAGCTTTTATCTGTGACATACTGTATCTTCCTTACTGTTACCTTGGCAAAGTTTATCAAATCTGTCTGCATCTGTTTATTTTGAAAGCTTGGTAGCTAAGGTTTTTCATGTAGAAGGCTATGAAAATTTCAGTGTTTTTATTTATAATGTCCTTAGCATTCTGATAATTAAATGATTAAACATTTCATAGGTTGGAATTTACCTTCTGGAAGCTGGGCTTAGTAAACCAGATTTTCTCAGTGATGGAGGTGGAAGACCCAAAAAATCTAATCAGCTGATTCAAAAACTCATGGAAAAGTTCTATAGTTTTATAATTCCAGGTAATCTGATTCAGTTGAATGTTGATGAATACTTCTTGTTATTTTTGTTATTGTCTCTTTTCAGTAGTTTCAAATATAAAGGAAAATAGCAAGTTATTCCTGCCATATAGAGCAGCTCTCTTCTTAAGTAATATTATTAGGTAATAAACTTTCCGTATTAGTATCCGACCACTAATCATATGCTAATTAACTTGTGGACAAATTACAGATGGTAATCTTCCTTCTCTACAGATAAGGCTCTGAGGCACATAAAAGCTTGAGACCTTACCATCTGGGGAGTAAATGCAGATTTCTTTAATGCATGTGAATTATTTGAACAGATTTACAGTAAATGGCCAAAGTTACCTAAGAAATATTTATTAAAAAAAAAAAAACTCAGAAGTTTTATTCCTAGTTTGGTGCCTAACACAACCATGGCAACAGATTTTTTGTTTGGTTTACACTGTAAACAATGGTAAAGAAAATTGCATTGATGAAGTTATGTAGAAATGAGGTAGATGTTCTCTCCATCCTATTGCTTTTATATTTTTTTTCCTCAGTGTACTCATCCTGATAATATACCTGTAGAGGGTTTTGAGACTTGGAGTCATGGATTCCATATCAAGTTAAAGCAAGCATAGGTAGATGCATTAATGAATGTGCAAAAGATCAAAGATACACTTCACAAATGTGGTAATTTCATTGTAATTTCCATGAAGTTAGGAATCTCTGTGAGAGGATTCCTTGGAGTAGTTTCTGTAGCTCGCTGGTGTTTGTGCCAGGTATATTTACTTTTTTTTTTTTTTTTTGAGAGGTGTCACAGTGGTACTCTGATTTAATTGTTGTGCCTCCCAGTATCATTTTTCTCTTTTTTTTTTTCAGTATGATGTTATAATTTTAAATGTACCTTAAAGGTCACTTTGTGCTGATTATGCTGGGCTTGAGTTGCTTCTTAATTTTGGTCTTCTGAGAAAAATGCTGCAAGGTGGCTTTCTCTCCAATACTAACTAGGGTTAGTGTCTTTATTTGAACTGTAGGGTTGTACAGCTCTTCCCAGGTTTTATTAGTACTGATTTTATTTGGGACCTAAAATGCTGTCAAAACTTGTGTAAGTCTTTTGTTGCCTCATCTTACTTCAGCTTCCTAAAATACTGACCCTTACATTTTTCATAAATATTTGTTCTGCAGTGCATAAGTTCTGTGCATGCCCATATATCCAAATTTCATGGAAAATATGTATGTACAAGGTCTTCTTTCCTAAGTCTCCTAGAGGGTACATACTTCTCTTGAGGTAGGATTATGATTTCTGAAGTATGAGTTGTCTGACCTCTTGCAGTGATATGATGGGAATTCCATGTTGTTAGACTTCTACGATTTTTATAAACAGATGAATAATTTAAAAGAAACATGAAAACTTATTAAAAACAATCAGAAAATCTCTTCAGTATGTTTTCATATCAAGAAGGACTTTATTTAATGAAAAATGAACAAATCCTTTACAACCCACTGTGATTTTCCCCTTTTTCTAAGTCGATCAACCCATGTGAACATTTTAAACTGAAATGTGAGTTATTTGTGATTCTTTATCCGCTGGAAATACTTAACGGAAGGTATTTATCGAATAAATAAGATCTGGTCATTCTGTGCCTAAATGCTGAAGGAAGAGCTTTTCCAGTTATATCCATTTCCATGATGGCAGTAGAGTGTTAATGTTAGCATCTAGGAAAGTGTTCTTTGTTTCCTACTGCTGGTAGCTGAGTCAGGTGCAGTTGTGACATGTTTAAATGATGTTTTGCTTTGCTTGCTTTCATGGCTTAACTAAGTATGTTGCAGCAGAACTTACTGAAATATTGGCAAGAGTTAATTGATAATGCATCTCTTGAATGATTGGGTGTATACAGATGTGCTGGAGGAAGATGAAGAAGAATCAGACATGGAACTAGAGCGCCAAAATATCGAAGAGCTTTACGACTTTGTAAGGCATACCCATCAGCAGGATATCCAATTGCTGAGAGAGGATGTGCAGCATCCTGCCTTAATTCCTATTCTGAGGCCGTACCAAAGTGAGGCTGTGAATTGGATGCTTCACAGAGAGAACTTCACAGGCACTCCAAGCAATGGCAAGTATATGGGCCTGGAAAACTTGTATAACTGAGGAAAGTGGTGTTGTATTGTGAGCATAATGTTTTCTTACTGTTTGATTTGAAGCTTTGTTAATTATTTCATTACTATTTTTATAAGAGGTGTGGCTTATAAAAGCAACCCAAGTGGGTTGCTTGGGTAGTGCACTAAATGAGAAGATAAATATGCTTTGCTGATCAGCAGATGATACAGCTTGTTGGTCATGAAGCGTGGTGGACGTAAATGTCTGCTTCTTTTATTTAAGTGTCACAATAAGGCTAAGCAATTCTAAGTACTGTTCTAAGTACTGTTTATAGAGAAACCTTGTAATACTATCATGACCTCTTTCTCCCTAGAAAATGCACTGCACTTCTTATGGCGAGAGGTCATCACTCTGGATGGAGTGAAAATCTACTATAATCCATTTACAGGCTGGTACGTTTCTATGGTCACCTCTTTAGAGAACACCTTAAAGCTGTACTTTGTGAAAAACCTTATTGGCAGCTTTTACCTGGAGAATACAAGATAATCCATAATTATAGCTTTTCAGTTAACAACTAAAGAATTAGAACAATGATATATTTGATTTTTAAAGAAAGGGCAAATTGGAGTATATAATACATGGAAAAATAAGTAAATATGAAGTTGAAGACAGTTCTTAAAGCTGCTTGTATTTGATGGAAGTTTTTGGTTATAAGATTAATGTTCTTTTAAAATTAGAACGCTGGAGGCTTCAACCTGTTCTTCCTTTAGCTTTTAAAAGCATTGGAAGGAGGCAGCATAAGGCTTTTTATTAATGCATTTATTATCTCCGTTTCATTTTTCTCATAAATTTGTTTAGAACAGAATCTTTTGCTAGTATGCTTTCTTCCTGTTGCGTGTATGTAATTTTCAGAATATGAATATATTTTTATTTTTGTAGACTAATGTTGCAATATGCTAAGATTAGCAAAGCAAAATCTATCAGGGTGGAGGTGTGGGGGTAACCTTCTGCCATACACATTAATTTTGACCAGGTTGGAACACTCAAAGCTTGCAAGCTTTTGTCAAGCTCAGTTTATCTAATAAAAGATATTACCTATTCGTAGATACTACCCCTTGCTTTGCTGACACTGTGCTGTGTGTATATTCCTGAACACATGCTTCTGTCATACCGTTCTGTAATCACTGATTTTCCACTTGGGAATGTACTTGTTTTTTTTAGTATTATCCGTGAATATCCATGTGCTGGACCTCAGTGGCCTGGAGGTATTTTGGCAGATGAGATGGGTCTTGGAAAAACAGTAGAAGTGTTGGCTCTTATTCTGACTCACACCCGACAAGACATTAAGCAAGATGATCTGACATTACCTGAGGTGAGGCAACTAGGGTAAGATTTAATATGAGGAAATTACTTTTCAGATTAATGAAATGTGTTTTATCTCTAAGTTTATTACTTTGTTTTATATTAATCCAGAATCAAAGTTGGATTAAAGTACAGTAAAAATTTTAGCTTTTTACTATGTGATACTTGGTGACATAAATAGTGGAGTAGATTGCATGAGTGGCATTTGATACCATTCCCCATTGTTGAAGGGGACTAGCAGGCAACTGTACTGTTACTAAGCTGTTAATAGTTTCCACACACTCCAAGAGTGTATGAATTTATAGTTTGGTCTGCTAAGTCAGAAATTGTTCTCCCCTTCACTTCATTCTGTTAATAAGTATCAAACATCTATTAGACAAGCTGTATTGCTTATTTATTTTTGTCTTTCTGGCTGTACGTACAATATGTATTTTCCTCTCCTTCTGCCTTTCCCCATCCATAATCTATGTCAGTTACAGCTATAGATTCCTTCAACTTAGTTCTGAAGTTGCAGAGACCCCAAGGGGCTTGCTGGGCTGCTCTTCTGTTTAAGTGTAGGGTGTTGAACAGCATTTTCCAGAAAACTGAGCCAAATGGGGTATCATTCTACCTACTTAAAAAAAAAAAAAGGAAATTACTGGGATCAGTGCATCGTAAGAGTGTGCACTTCATTAACAGTTCAAGTTTTTTTTCAAATGTGAAAAAATTAAGTTCAGAATTGCTGTGAAGAGATGTGAGCTGATAACACTGTTTAATGTTGTCTGCCTTAGGGTAAGCTTGTGAACTTCTTTGTTCCACCTCAACCTTTAGAAGGAAATAAAAAGAAAAAAACAAGGGAAATGGAGTTGAAATTGAAAGAAAAAATACAATATCCCAGTAAGTATTTCTGATGAATTTCTTAATGCATTTTGCTTTTGGCATAACTCTTGTGTTGACCATTGATAGTGAGTTTAAGGCCAGTCTGTGATTTTGCAGAATGAAGTGGTTCTTTTGCTGTATCAATTAGCACCAGGAATGCAAAGCCGATCTAACCAAGAGATTAATCTAAAAATAAAAATATTATTCCTCAGTTGACTAGGTGATGAACACTGGATTTTAAATTTGTGATCTGTAGTTATTGCTTTGCTTTGAAATCCTGTCAAAATACTCCTTTCTAACAAAAGGTTGTGTATGTTTAAAAGTAAAGTTACCAACTCAGATGTCTGCTATAGAACTGTGTGTACCTGGGGGTCATTTTGTAAGAGTTTATTCATCAAAGTGAAATATAGAGTTTATTTCTAAGCTTCAGTAAGAAAAATTAGGAGGTAGTTATTTTTGTGGTTACTCTGTATTGAAATATGCATGTCTAATCTGAAAAGTGATTCATAAAACTACCTCAAGTAAAACATTGTCAAAACTGCTGCTTGTACACACTTTGGATTTTTTTAGATGAGCACAGACAGTGTTCAGAGTCCCTTTAATAGGTGTTCTCCAAGGTAACTGTCATTTTGTCTGAGCTGTATTTTTTTTCTGCTTTGGTTATACATGCAGGCTTACGAGTGATGGTATTAGCAGCTGTAAAGGAGATGAATGTGAAGAAAGGAGCATCCATTATTGCAATATTTAAGTATATCAGTGCTGTCTATAGGTATGACATACAGAGAAATAAACGTCTTCTCAAAAGAACTCTAGAAAAACTAATTGCAGAACAAGTAGTGGAACAAGTCAAAGGACATGGTCTGGCTGGGTCTTTCAAGCTGGGAAAGAATTACAAGGAACAGAAGAGACGAGAGAGAACCAAAGAACAGGTAAAACTTGCTTCAATAGCTACTTCAAAGAATGGTGCAAAGGCAGATCTTTCTACCCATTGCATACTGCAGTCAACCAAGTTGTCTCTGTGACCTAGTTCTGTGATACTGGCTTATTTATAAAAATGAAAAAATGCACCATTTGCTTTGGAATTCATAGACAAGGAAGCAGAAATTATAAGTAGGTTAAATATGGGGCTAAACATTAACTACATTTGTCATGAGTCTTGTAAAATACTGCTGTAGGGGCTGGCAGATACATTGTTCTTACCTTGCAGTTGTGTGGTAAACACTGGTAAACATATAGGGTGTTTATATCTTGATGTTAAAGTCTTCTTTCCAAAGGAAGAAAAAAAGGTGAGGAGAAAGTCTGACAATCTTGTTTAATTTTACTTTGTAGATAGCAAGGACTTCAGAAAGGACTCAGAAGAAGCAATTGACTGATACTAATACTCAAACCAAAGAATCAAAAAATAGTGATGTCACTTCTGAAAATGTCCTTAAAATCCCTTTACGAGTAGGTATTGCCACAGAAGAACATGATTATTGTGCAACTAGGAAAAACAGCAAGACACCTGAAGTAGATCACAAGAACTCTGCAGAAGAGAATGATGTTCAGCAGGAAGCTGTGGTCTCAAAGTCTCTTGACTTGCATGGCAGCCTCCTTGTTTCCAGTGATGTTAGCAGTCATCCTGATCTTGATGTTCCTAAAGGTAAAGCTGATATCAAACAGGAAATCCCAAAGGACCAATCCTCACATTCCCAAGAACGTGCCAGCAGTAGTGTGCAGCATGCAAGTTCTGTGTTTCCATTTAATACCTCTGAATATCGTTTTGAATGCATCTGTGGTGAGCTTGGATTGGTTGACTATAAAGCTCGCGTGCAGTGCCTGAAATGTTCTTTATGGCAGCATGCAGAATGTGTAAACTACAAAGAGGAAAATTTGAAGATCAAGCCCTTTTACTGTCCCCACTGCCTTGTGGCAATGAAACCAGTTTCTACAGGAGCAACTCTGATAATTTCTCCAAGTTCTATTTGTCATCAGTGGGTGGATGAGATCAACAGACATGTGAGATCATCATCTCTTCGAGTTCTGGTAAGATTATATATGTTCATCTTCTGGAGAGTTATTTTATCAAGGCTTGGGGCTTTCTGTCTGACTCTTTGTATCATGTAAAGTTCAGAGGTTTCTTTGTCAGAATTCTGTATTCCTTGCTGATAGACCATCATGTCTGTTTTGGCAATACGTGATACATTTCTCTCCATGAAAGATGCCTGCGTTTAGTTCTTCATTTTTTTCATTGTTAGTTGATCATTGGGAGACAATACAGTGAACTAGGTATCTTTATCATACAGGAAGCAAATCTTGAGTAGTAGCAACAACGCGTGATTTCTAAGAGGGAATGCTCTATAGTGTCTTTTTTTCCAAAAGATTATTGAGGAACTTAGGAAGGCCTTCCTATAGGTGTTTTTAGCTGTATCGACTCTCACTGTATACTTAGCAGCTCCCTGACAGGTGTTTCTCACTTCTTTGTAGATAAAAACAAGTGGTTTAGTAGGTAAAGGGTATACTTTGGAATTCTGTTTCTCAGTCTTGGGCTTTCAAGCTTACTGAAAATTACACCATTACATCTTGGTCATTTCTCTAGAATGGCTGACATGGAATAGTATGTTGCTTGTCTGGAGACCTTGTATTATCTCTTGATTTCTCATTGAAATAAACTTAATTACACATACAGTAGTTGTGACTAGTACAGGATTTTTGTATTTTTAATATAGCTGTCACAGTATTCAAGGGTAAGCATTGTCTTTTATTAAGCTGAATTTATTTCAATTCAATTATTTATCTCAACTAGATGATCTTTAAGGTACCTTCCAACCCAGACCACTTGATGATTCATGATGTAGTCAAGTCTTGTCCTTCGTAGTTTTAACTGAGCAGAAACCTTTGTAATGGTAAGGTGCTTTTTGATCCTTAGATCCTTTATATTTTGAAAAAGGGTAAGTTGATAAAAAGAAATCTTCACAACCAAGAATGTATCTGATATCTTCAGTTATCCTTCAATTGTCCATTTGTACATTGTCCAGGCCTCCAGTAAGTTGTGTGTGTGAGCAGTCTAACTAGCTTAGATAACTAGCTTTATTGCGGCAGCTAACAAATGAGTAGCTTGCACAGTTTTCATAGGACCTAGTCCAAGTTTTATACCAGCTTTGATGAAAACTGTCAGAAATAGATTTACATGGTAACAGGAGAACAGCTTAAATACTGAATGTCAGTACTTTAAAACTGTGACACCTTCCATTCTAAGACACTGTTTACATTTTCTTTTAACTGCCAACTGTAAGCCATCCAGAATGGCTTTCAGTGCTGTTTCAAATGAAAAGTTGTGTTTTTTTTTCTGTAAACGAAATGTCTGCATTCATTTCATTTTAAGAAGAACGACTCTCCCATGTTAACAGATTTTGCATTGCATGTGAATGATGTTATTTATTCTTTCAACTGGTCATAACCTGTGGGAAATTCTACAGATTTTGTGTAAAAGAACAAGGAATTAGTATTTATCAGTAGGTCTTGCTTTGTAGCAGGTTGTCTTTTCCTGCTGCTGTGGAAACAACCAAAACTTGGCCAAGTTACAAACCTCCAGAAAATCTGTTCACAAATGCTTCAAAGAGATCATTAGACTTCAATAGCTATTTTTCCTTAACAGTTGTTTCAGTGAGCATGCTCTGTGCTGCGGTGTTTTGTTTTTTAAATCTCCTTCTCTGTCTCCTTTTCTTTCTCCCTTGTTCATGTGCATTAGCCAGGTTGTACTTGCTCAGTTCTCTTGTTCTGGGGCTGAACAGAAATGTTCTGCAGGAGTTTCTTGCAGTTGACAAAAACTTTGTTGCTATATGCAGAAATGTAGAGCAAGATTATTGGAGTAAAAAAAATATAGTAACAGTGAAAATAACAATTTTAACAGTGAAAATTAAACAGATCAAGGGCTAAGTAGGGGGAAAATCAAATGAGGTTGTATATCATCACCTCAATTTTGGTATTTCTAATCATTTGTTGCTTGAATTAAGGGAGCATTAAAGTTTGTTACCCTTAGGGACTGGGTATCTTAAGTGATTAAAACCAAGCATTTGTAGACAACTTCAGATAAGAATAGACTGTCTTGATTAGAATGTTTATGTAATCACAGACTGAGAGACGTATAGAAGGATATTAGCTGATTGAAGATGTGACTAGAATTTAGATGTTTTCTAAAAAGATGGGGATATTCCTGTATCTGTGAGAAGAAAACCAAACCATTTAATGCTGGGATTCAGCATTACATACAGTTCTAGGTGAATGGTAAGAAGTAGCTAATGACTTTTTATAAAAATGTAGTAAGCAATGGATGCATGTAATTTTAAAGAGTGTTCCTGAGATAAATGGGGAGCAAGAGAAATCATTTTTTTATGAGAAAGGGGGGGGGGGGAAGTTGATTGCTATATAGCTCTGGTAATGATTACTTTTAGCTAGAAGTCCCGGGGATGACAAAACTCTATTTTTGTAAATGTATTTCACTGATTGTTTGCTATACCACTCGTTATATGAAATTTTGACATGCTTTGATATTCTGAGTATATTGGGACTCATCGTATTAGCTGCCTTTTAGATACAAAATGCTATCACAGGGAAGCATGTAGTAAAATGTTTGGTTTAGTTTGTCAAGTTTTTATTGAAACTGCTCCGTGTTTCCAAAAGGATTGTACTTAAAATAATGAGGGAGATAAACTACTTCCGATATTACAACAAATGTCACTATGAAAGATTTATAATAATATTCTGTTGGTGCACAGAGAACTGTTTCTCACTAGGGTATTCTTTCTATGTCATGAGTCTCTGTGGAGATACTTTTTGTAGATAAAACAGTACCCAGAGTATTATTTTCTGTTTTTAACTGTTTTATCTTACTGCATGCTACTGTCTTTGTCTAATCTTCCATGAAATTTTCACGAAATTCTTTGGGGGGTAGATGAGAGGATTGAGAGGAGAAAGGTAATATACATCTAGAGTAAATGAGAGAAGAGAGAGCATATAACACTGGGATAATGCTACTTCTTACAACATAAAAGAATATTTAATCTTTTTTATAGCTGTTGGTACGCAAAATTGTTGTAGCAAGTTCTAAAATTCTTTTTTCTTCAAAGGAGAAACAAAATCAATACTTGAAGTTTTGTACAGCTGTAAATAATTATACATGAAATTGCATCAATGTATTTCATTTGTTATTTTGTATTACTTATGTTTTCTGACCATACTAGTACATGGATACAGGTTTTGTGAATGATTTTCTATTTTATGAGGGCCACATCTAAAAGTATGCATGTATTAAGCCATACATGATATATATGGTATATTTTATTTTTAAGGTCTCTTACCTTAATTCTTCGCTAATGAGCTACTGAATGCAAATCCATGTAGGTATACCAAGGTGTGAAGAAGCATGGCTTTTTGCAGCCACACATGCTGGCGGAGCAGGAGGTGGTTATCACCACATACGATGTCCTCCGCACTGAACTGAACTACGTAGACATACCCCACAGCAACAGTGAAGATGGGCGCCGTTTCAGGAACCAGAAGCGGTACATGGCCATCCCAAGCCCCTTAGTAGCAGTGGAGTGGTGGAGGATCTGCCTTGATGAAGCACAAATGGTTGAATGTACTACTGCAAAGGTATAACATTCCCACTCATGCATTTATTTAACTTGAAAAGGTTTTGACAAGCTTATTGTAAATAATTAAATAAGACTCCCCCCGCTCCTAGCATTCGGTGAGCTTAGGTCATTTGTCCTTGTAGCTTGCTCTTTAGAAGTGAATGTTCTGTTGGAGATATTATTATTAATTGTTTCCCCTGCTGGAATTTTAGCAGACTGAAATATATTCAGCTCAAAAAATACTTAACGTAATCTATACTGACAGCTTAAACAACTAGGTCATCATGTTGTATATAGTGTCTGATAGTTTCAAACAAGACACTAGGCTGTTCAGTGACATGGTTCAGAGGCATATGTCCCCTGGATCCAGAGGTTAAAATAATTTGCAGTGTCTCTGGAAACTCTAGGTGTGCAATGGGAGATAATTAAAATTAATGTTCTTCCAATCTTTTCGCCCAAGACAGGAAGACAAAAATGCTACTTACATCATGGTTCATAGGCCTTAGTATTCATTCTGTGTATGTTTCTTTTGCTAACTCTGTGCCTCTTGTGAACATTTGATTGCACTTGATTACTTCCAAGTGGATATGGCTTTTGGTTACCTTAAAAATAGCTCACAGTAACTTTGTACATGTTTTTGCAATACATTGTACCAATGCTACTTAAAGGTTTGTTAAACTTTTAAACCAAAAGTTGTGCAGGCTTTTTTTTTTTTTTTTTTTTTAAGTCCCTATGTCTTCACGCTGTGTTCCACTCTGTTTTTTCCTTTCCTGGCATTGATTCTATCTTGTTTTTCTAGGCTGCTGAAATGGCACTCCGTTTAAGTGGAATCAATCGCTGGTGTGTCAGTGGCACTCCTGTGCAGCGAGGATTAGAAGGTGAGATTTTATGCAGCAGTGTCAGCTGTGGGTTTTCCTTGTCCTGATAATTAGGTGGTGGGTTTGAAGCACTTAAAATGTCTGCTAATTTTGCTCTGAATTCAGACATATGCATGAGATATTCTGACTTTGGAAGTCCTCTGGTCTGTGATGTATGTGATGAATGTCTTACAGCTCTGAGCTGAATTATCATAAAGCCAACAGCATAGGGAATGTAGCCACCAGGTCTTCAAGAACTTGAGGATATCATTATATATTTCTGTTTCTCATGTGGACAATGCAGGCATTTAAACATGTGCTTCTGTAGTTCTCCAGTAAGTTCTGAGTACAAGCTTAAAGTTAGTGTGTCCTTAAATTTTGTCCCCCAAGATGATGGGCGTCTGAATTGATCAGAATTGGCAAGCTATGTTCTTTCAAGGTAAGAAAACAAGAATAGTGGGTTTTGTGAATTTCTTCTGCTGTAGTAGAAAAGTGAAAGTCTTCTGAATTGCAGCCACTTTTAGGATAGTGGGCAACAGAAGGTGCCCAGCAGGCTGTAAAGTAATGATACTGAGCAATATTATTGTAGGAAAAACTGGCAGACCTAGCTAACCATATGCAATCATGTACTTTCTGCCTCTCACCCCTGCTCTGAGTAGGTTTAAATTCATCAGTTTGTTCTACTAAACTTGAAATTAGCTGGTTGAGAGACACCTTGTGATATTCCAGCAAGTTCAATAAAAATCAACAGGTAACTAAAGGAGAGACTCTTCCCTCCCCTCACCCAGTCCCCTGCCTCCAGTTAACTGTTTTTGTGAAGGAATGACCAGAAATCAAGTAGAAAAGATAATCACTCAAATGTCTTTGCTTTATATATGGTAACATTTCTGTGGAAGCTAACTTTTTTTTGGAGGCATATTCTGAAGTATTAAAACATTTTCTTTTCTTGGCAGATCTGTATGGATTGGTTCTTTTTCTTGGAATTGATCCTTACTGGGTCAAACATTGGTGGGACCAGCTTTTATATCAACCTTATTGTAGGAAAAATCCCCGTCCTCTCTACAGTTTAATTGCCAAGATAATGTGGAGATCAGCAAAGAAAGATGTGATTGACCAAGTAAGAGAGAGGTTTTGGTTTTAAAATTTCTGAAGAAGATATATCAATAATTTTATTTGCAAATTACTTATTTTTTAATTGCAGATTCAAATCCCGCCTCAGACAGAAAACGTACACTGGCTTCACTTTTCTCCTGTGGAGAGACACTTCTATCATCGCCAGCACGAGGTGTGCTGCCAGGATGCGTTGGCAAAACTCAGGAAGATTTCAGATTGGACTCTTAAGCTTAGCAGCCTAGATAGAAGGACTGTGACATCCATTCTGTACCCTTTGCTGCGGCTGAGGCAGGCCTGCTGTCATCCACAAGCTGTTCGGGGAGAGTTCTTGCCATTACAGAAAAGGTGAATTTTTATCACTTCCTTAATGGTTTGCTTTATCCAAAGCAAACCTTTAGTTGTGCCTAATGATGCAGTATTTTGTACAGCTGTAAACCTCACTTTTAAACTTCATAAGTTAACCATGCAACTTTGTCACACCAAGCTCTGACAACAGAAGTTGAATGATATGCAGTAGAGGAGCCCGTAATTCTTGTGCTAAAGAAACATTAGTGCTGAGTGATAATGCAGCAACACTTTAACTTTGACACTGTTGCATGCTAGGGTGTTACAGGTGACAAATGTACTGTGAAACAAAATATACTCTTTTTCAGTTTCAGACAAGCCCACCGAATTTCTTCATGTCTTACAAAACTCACTTTCATAAATGAGAACAATGAACTAATGGAATAGTTCTTTAAATCAAATTTTTTTAACGTGAGGTTGCACAGCTAGTAAATATATATCAAAACTTGAAAGCTGTTCAAATCTTTCTTTCCCCCTCTTGCATGCTTTCAAGATCACCCTTCGCACAGAAGCCCTACAAATACACCAGTTTGGTCCCAGCCTTTGTTAGACCTAAAGCCTGTTGCCACTACTCTTTGTGAAACATAGTTACTTCTTTTTTGTGCAATTAAATGGACTTTGAGAAAACAAGGTGTTTCTCTTCCAGAATATCAGAGCACTGCTTGTGTTGTTTTATTCATAAGTTAAAAAGAGGGAAAAACATAAACTTTAGCACTAGCCGTGTTGCTTCTGTTGTTTCTTGCTTTTGTTCATCTATTTTATTACGTTTATTTCCATCCTTTTATGAAGTTTTTTATCCTACTCCTTTCTGTTTCTCATACAGGGCACTTTAAGTGTGCCTAAGCAGCTGTAGATGACTTTCCAGCTGTTTCAGCAGGGACCAATAGTAGGCACTGTGCTATACCACTTTATCTCACATTCTACCAGTGTGGTAGTAAGTAGTCAAACATGGGAGAAAGCAATGTTCCCACAAACCCCTACATTATTTGCATTGAAATTAGCCAGCAGAGCGCAAATGAAACGTAAAACTGAGCTGAGCATGCTGGGGACAGCTTAGTGTACTGCATTGATTTTGGCACAGTTCCAGCGAGCAGGGTTGTATCTGGTCTCACAGCAGCAGCTGGTCATAGAAGCAGCCTCAGGTTGGATGTAGACTGCTGCTGCAGTTTACTTTCCTATCTCTTTGCATCAGTCTTCTTCCTGCCTGGATTCTTTATCCCTTATTCCAAGCTACCCTTCATGCTTCCTTCTTTGCTTCTCCCTCTCATCTCCTCCTTCCTTTATTTTTCTGTTCAGCTATTTCACTTCTAATTAAATTCCTCACAATAATTACAAATATTACAAACAAATGTAGAAAAGGAAGTCTAGAAAGAAAGGGAAGTTGTGCTTGCTAATCTTTACTGTTTTCATTCCATGTATTTTCCACTTACCTCAATATTTCATCCATTCTGCATGTTTAGGTTGGTGATGAAGGGGAGAAATGTAGTCTCTCGTGGCTGTTTTCATTTCTCATTTTGTTCTCTCAGCTTGTAGTGACACGAGGTCTATTTTTGGTTGTTTCCAGTTCTCTATTGTAACAGAAGGAGCAACATATTTTGCCCCGTGAAGGATTACTTTACCTGGTTCTATTTTTCCTCTTGTTTTATCTCTCCCTATTTTTAGGAGTTGTCAGTATCTTGATGTACTTAAGTTAGAGTAAATCTCTGCCTGGAAGAAGTCTGTTGGAAAAAGTTTTTTTGTTGGCTTCTTATTTTTTTAATCTCTGGTAAACATTTGCAGAGTATGTTGCATGTATGTAACATAGTATTTCATGCTGCACAGCATGACAGTTTAACTTCTGTAGCATTATGGTTTTGTTTCAAATTTGAGCCACTTGCTCTCTATTCCAGCACCATGACCATGGAAGAACTGCTAACATCCCTGCAGAAGAAATGTAGAACAGAGTGTGAGGAAGCTCACCGACAGTTGGTGTGTGCTCTTAATGGCTTAGCTGGTATCCATATCATTAAAGGTAAGACTGGGTGGCTGTAGTATATTTACTCCTTTTAGTAGGCTTATTATGGAAAAGACTTAATGAAAATAAACTTGGGAAAATAAGCTTGTAAAAGTGTTTATAACAAGACCAGCACTCCTCCTAGTCAAGGGAGGAGAGAATAGATGTAGTGTGGTGTCTTTGAGGTGCCTCGGTATTTCTGGCTTTCCTGTTTTGTGTTCTTTCTTAGTTATACCATCTGTTTGTACTGGGAGGATAAGAAATCACACTTGTACTTATTCTGCTGCCTTATTTTATTAGTATACTAATAATAATTTCAGGCCTGCCTTTGTGTTCCCTTCCACATAAAATTCCACAATGAATGTGGAATTACTTGGCTGCATTTTAGCGTCTGTGCTTTTGTTTAGTGGTTTGAGCTGTACAGCAGGCATCACAAATTTTTCAATGTTGATTTTTGTCTGAATTAAAAGGGGAAAGAAAGCCTTGATTGTAAAACAAAAGTTGTTTAAAAAACTTGCCATAAATTCCAGGTGAGTTAAAGAAATTGTTGTCACTGCTAAACCAACTAAAAGTACTGGCAAGTCAAGAAATCTTCCAAAAAACGCTTGACAAGCCTCATTGTTGAGTCCTTGCAAATTCAGCACGTAACTTTTGTCCTGTTACAACAATAGTATATTGCACAACCCTTACAGTTTGCAACTGTTCCAGTGTAAGAAAGAACAAATCTTATTCCTGTTACGTTTCTATATATGTGGGGAAGTGATTTTTTTTTTTTTTTACTTCTTGTTTTTATATATTTCATGTCCTTGTACTTTCCCCATTTTAAGAGTCTTCTAAGACTGTATTGCTGGTTAAGTAATTTTTTATCAGGTGAGAGAAAAGGAAATATTTTTTTTAAATGCTGCTATTTTCATGTGTGCAACTTCAATTTTGCATATCTTCTTAAATCAATTTATGTAATCTGTTTTCTGAGAAGTGATTGTTATGTTGGTACCTTACATCTACGGTTATGATCCCTACGTGTATGTAATTACTTTTACATTTCTAAAGTATGATGAAACTTTTCTGTGCATGTGTTGTTAGGACTCTGGAAGAGTGAGTAACATATGTGCAGTGCAAATTTAGTAATATATTCTTGCAATGAGTTGTAGATGGTGGGTTTTTAGTGTGACATTTGAGATGTTTTTTTTGACATACACAACCGTGGATGGATATTTTTAAGATCAAGAAGTTTATAGATCTGACGATCATGTAATATACTTAACTTAGAAACTGCTTTAGCCTGTAAGATTCAACACTGTATCTTTTCCCATTTTAGAGCAGGGAGAATGAATAGGGAAGATTTGCTTGAAGATGAACAAATATACAGCTTGTCTGAAAACCTCTTCGTTTATTGCAAGTGATGTCTGGATATTTGAAGACCAACTCAATTTGTATATGTAAATGTTCTTGTTTTGTTTACTTTTTTTAAATCCAGAAGAATATGCATTGGCTGCAGAGCTTTACAGAGAAGTGTTACGTTCTTCTGAAGAGCACAAAGAAAAGCTCAAAACAGATTCCTTGCAAGTGAGTAAAGATTAAAACGTAAATAGACATGACTAAGAATTGGAATAATCTAGATTTAAATTAACAGGTTAAACTTTTCTTTCTCCCAAGTGGTGTGGTGAATGACTCTTTCAGCCAGCTGGCATCAGTCTTTAGATAGGAATCTGTCTAGTGACCTTCATTTGTCTTTTTCTAAAACCTACCATGTTTCTAAAAAGCTTTTGCTTCTCAGTCATAACGATATCCCAGAAGCAGTGTATGATCTCCACCTGCTGTTCTGTACTAAACTTAACAAGCTGACTTTCTAGGCTTGTGTATGTGACTGTGACTGTTCACATTAATGGTATTATTTTGCAGACTAGTGCAAATATAGGATGCTGGGTTGGCAATAGGAGTGATATTAATGTGCCAAGTGATAGAGAATAATAAAATCATTGCACTGTAGATGACCTCAAATAGCATTAAAACACAAAAAAAAATCTATTATTTTTTTCAGGAAAAATATGGATATATTTTTGAATACTATATAAAAGTATGAATATATTTTCCTGATAAATAAACTGTGTAACAGTTAATTCAAGAACTATCAGTTTTAAATTTACCAGAATTCTTTTAATCATAACAAGATATTTAAAATGCTAATGACAGATAAATAAGAAGTGATCTGTATATTTCTTTACTTTACTTTTTTCCATTAAGTTACTCTTTGATTGCTAATCTTGTATGTGGTCATTTGATGCCTCCATTGTGCTGCTTTGATATTCCTTGTTTGTGAAATTGAGGCATTTTTCAGTTAGCATATTAGCATAAACTTGTTAAGCTACTTGTGACAACGTTGTTAATGAAGCTGTTTTACTGAATGATATATAAAGTAAATATTTTCCTCAAAATGTGCACCGCCTAATATTGACTTTAGGTAATAAAACTACTTCTGTTGAGTGCTTCCCAGTTGTGTAGCTTTGACTCTAAGAAAATGGCAAACCACTGCAGGTTAGTGCTCTTTACTGGCTGATGTATTGATAGGGCAATGGTGGAGTGAGTCAAGGAGGTGAGGAAGGCATAAGATCATGCATAATCGTGGAGGTTATAAAAATACATTAATGGAATACGCAGGCAACATAACATTAGTAGACTGGTTTGGGATATATAAGGTGAACCTAGAATAAGAAGAATAGAGTTGCTTTGAAGTAATGAAGTTGGTTTTTTCCCCTGAAAAGTTTAAAAAAAAAAAAAAAAAGAAAAGAAAATAGTAAAATAGTTGAAGTGTTCGAGAGAGGTGTTTTTTTTTTCCTTACATTCTCTTTCGTTTTAGTATGCTAAATGACTTCTCCATATGATGTTCTGAAAGATTTACAAAAGAATGTACTATTAAAAAAAGCAACTTGTTTTACATAATAGTTACGGGCAGTTTTAATTATGAGGGTGAGTGCTGGACAGAATCTGAAGACTTGCTAAGAGGTGTTGAAGGTCTTTTTAACTTGTTTCACTTCCCACCTCAGTAAAATGATGAAAACAATGTTTATCATTATATGCTTCCAGATTAATATAGGGGTTTAAAAAAAAAAAAAAAGACACTAATGCTTTAATGGAGTACTAATTTCTTGCCATAAGACTTCATTGCAATAACTGTGACAGGAAAAGCTTAATCAGCAATCTATTTTTTTTTTGTGACTACCACTGACTTTTTTTTTTGGTATGTTTAGAGACTTCATTCTACACACAATTTGATGGAATTGTTGGGAAAGCACACAGGAATTCCTCCAACTTTGCGTGATAGCCGACTTGCAGAAGAGGTGAATCTTGTTCATTTTTATATAAATACGTTTTTAAGAGTATCTTTTTATTTTTTTTATCCTTTAATATTTTTCTCTAACCACAGTTTTCAAGTTAACTGTGGGCATTTTCTTTCAGGTTAGTCAATAGAAATGTTTCTAGTTTCATAGTAACTTAATAGAAATTGTGCTCATTTTTTTATTGCCTTAAAACTCAAGCAATTTAATTATCACATTTTCCTGACATTGATCTGAAGAGGATTGGAAAATGTGGCTTTTGCTTACAAATATAAAGCAGAAATTGCTATAAAAAACAATCTTCTGCCAGCAGCTCATTCAAATCCCTATGAGTCTGGTCTGTTTCTGGTAACTAACTTCCACCTGTAGCAGTAATATAATTGTTTTGATAGTAGCAAACAGAAGAAACAATTTAAACACACCATTAAAATGCACTAAATAAAGGTATCTAGTGATATCAGATTGTAATGGTAAAAGATGTGTGTGCATGTTAATAGTAAGAAACAAGATTTCTGTTGATCAGTTTTTAAAATATCAAATAATCTTGTACAGGTTATATCAGAGACACCTGCATGTCATAAATGGTTTTCACTCTCAGGAATAATTTTTATTGGAGGAAAAAAAACAAGAGTGATGCCCACAAATATAATACAATTTAAACCTTTCTTGGTATTTTTATTGATAAATTCTATATGTAGGTAAAGTAAAAGTCAATTGTGTGGTTCTCAGATTGAAATACATTGTGTTGAAGCTAAACAATAGAAAGATCCTAAAACAATGTAGAGAGAATTAAGGAGTATGTGGCATTCCAACTCCTCTTATAATGTGTTGTATTTCTAGTGTGTTATTTGGGCCTGTCCAAAAGCAAAATCGCGTGGTTAACATCATGTAATAATTTGTCTTTGAATGTTTTGGGGGGGGCTTACTAATAAATTCTAGAGGGAAAAATTAAGTCTAAATATTGCTCAAGAACAAAGGTGAGTAGCATTTAGGTAGATAGCCATTCTAAAGCATTATGGTAGCTGAGGAGATGTTGCATTTTTATACCTCATAAATAAGAGTTGTACATAATATAAACTCCTACTTCCATACAGGCAGAACAACTTCGGCAGCATTATATGAGTAAATCAAATGCAGAAGTTGCAGAAGCCCATCAGGCTTTACAACCAGTTTTCCAGACCATTCGGGAGCTCCAGAGAAAGGCAGGTACCTCTTACATATTTAGTCTTTTTTTTTAATTTATTTAAATTTATCTTAATTTTATGTTTACTTTTTTATCCAGACCTTCAGCTACCTATTATCTCTAATACTTCTTTGAAGGCCTGTTTCAAATGGAACTTCAGCAGTGTGCGTATATTCATATACACACACACACACAAAAAACGGAGCCCCCAAATATACTGTGATCCCCGCACAAAGAGGTTCACAGTGCTCAATGAATGGATGACTAAAAAGAGAAGCATATAATAATGGTGAAATGGTTCTAGTAAAGTTTAGCACTGTGCTTGATTCTTACGTTAACAGTTTCACATTGATTTTAAGTCAATGAGGTAGAGGTTTTGGCTTGAAATGTTTCTCTAGTGTATCAGATTACTTGTTACTTCTGAAGGAACTGTTCTTTTTTGACATGCATTTAGTCATTGGGTGTAAGGCTAAATTCAAGGTGACTATTCACGTTTCTTGGGAAGGTACAAACCAAACAAATTAATGAACGCCTGAGGTGAAATGCTGCTTGTTAAAATAGTAAAGAACTAATACAGAAATGGGGTCATACAGCACATACATGTAAAGAAGTAATCTTTCCAGTATTTTCGCCTTTAAAAATCATAAGCTCACTTCAGTGTTATTCTTCATTAATTTCACAGATAACTTGCTTTCTTTGAAATGTTCCTTTCCTCTTTTATAGAGCACACTTTGAATTGATTATGATACCTTTTACATGGGTATTCTGTGTATATGGCCTAAGAAAATCTGACTCTACTGAAGCAATTTCAAGGTGTGGAAGAAGATGGGGTTTTACAAAATTTCTCAATCCATGTACTCATTGGGTATTTTCTAAGCATATGCTCATCTTCTGCTTTCTTTCCACGGAATTTACCAGGTTGTGTTGTTTAAGCGTGGCCTAGAGAGCAGAATAAGCCTCTGCTGCAAAGAGTAAACTTACTGGTTGTTGAATGTTCATAGATAACCTGTTCTTTTGCATACAGATACATTCTGGTTCTCCATGGTGGTTAGATGTCATCCAGACTGCAATACAGTATGCCATTGATGAGGAACTTGTTCAACGTGTGCAAAATGAAATAACCAGCAACTACAAACAGCAGACAAGTAAACTCTCCATGGCAGAAAAGTAAGAGAACTAGCTAAAGTAGGCTAATGAATACAGTTAAGTCTTTTCAAGTCTTCCGATCACTTTGTGCTAACAGCTGCAGTTTAGTAGCAGGCACTTGTGCTTCAGAACATCTGGACTGCAATTAAGTTTCAAAAACAGTTCAAGAAATCAGAGCTAGATAGAAGACTTGAAAAGGAAAGTAGGAGAATTAGTTTTCTCCTAGACAAGCATTCTTTAAAACTTTCCTTTCTATTATATACGGTTGTTTTAGTGTTTTTTAGCAACTGCTTGTTAAGAAAGATCCCAAGTTTATTACATTAAATTTGGGTAACCTCTAAAAGAAAATGACTCTCAGAAAAGGGAAGTGGACAGACTATATCAGGAATTCCTTGTGTAACAACATAAAATAGCATCATTGTCTTTAGAGGAATGAATTTTGGGTTGATTTCATGTTAAACAGCAGTACTTCCGAATTCTAAATGTGTGAAGAAGTGCTTTATGGGTTAATATTATGCAAACAAATTGTCATAATAGCTACTCTTTACTGTGCTTGTTTTGAGTGGAATTTCTGATACAGAAAATCAGATCAAGAAGTTATTAGTAATGGTGTGATACTTTGATGTAACAATTCCGGTTTTTTTTGGTGTGCTATTACAGTATAATGATTTGGAGGAACATCTGGAAGTTACCTAGCACAAGCTCTTGCTCACAAATTGAGACCCATGCTCAGAGACTTAGATTGACCAAGTTGCCCGGGAAGTTGTTCTGTTAGATTTAGAATACCTCCAAGGAGGGAGATGCTATAGCCTCTTTGTGGAGTCTGTTCCAGTATTTGACCCACTCAATGAAAAATAAATATCCTTCTGTGCAGTTAGTGTTTCCTCTGTTGCATCTTGTGTCTGTTCTCTGTTGTCCTTCCACCATGCGCCTTTAAGAAAAGTTTGGCTTGGTCTTCTCTGTCCATTCATGTTAGGTATAGATAAATGTAGAAAACAGTAAGTTCTCCTCTGAGCAGTTGTATTTTAAGGGTGAGCAAGGCCTGCGCTCTCAGGGAGAGAAAGAACTTAATTTCCTATTTAATGTATTTTAGCATGTGCAATAAAAAATTGATAGTGTCTAGCATTTCCTAACAGTCAGTGGTGGAAGCAACAAATGGTAAACTGTCATTGAGTATTAGAGATGGTTAATCCAGGGGATAATGTGGGAGTTTTACAAACCTGTGATTGCAATACATGTGTATTTTCAAGCTACCTGGTCAGGCAAACTCATCTATTTTAGTTTAAAATATTTATTGCTTAACTAGGTCACTTTAAAAACCAAGCTTCAGTAGTGTTGATAAACTTGTGCTCTTTTCTACTCACTTTAGGAAAGGCATGTTTTGACTCAAACTCCCCTTATGGTGTAGAAGCACAGTCTTGTAAAACATTCGTCTTGCATGTGAATACTAGACCCTGTATGAACAGCACGCTCTCAGTAAAGGACCTCTGCCCACAGGAAAAACATGATATAGGAAGTACTTTGGTAGTCCTCACATCCCCAGTCTAATCAAGAATGACAGCTAAGATTTAGGACATTTTTAGGAAATTATTATTTCTCCAAAATACTGAATTAAATTTGAATTTGATGACTCAGTGTGCTATTTTTTCCCTTTTTCTTCAAATCAGATTCCGTGACTGCAGAGGTCTTCAATACCTACTCACAACCCAGCTGGATGAAGTGAAGAAGTTTCAGAAGATTGTAAGAGAAGCAGTGAAAAACTTAGAAGGCCCTCCCTCAAAGCAGGTTATTGAGGCTGCCACTATCTGCCATTTGCGACCTGTTAGACTGCCACTTAACAAGTATGTCTGGAGAATCTAAAATATATTTTAGATGTATTACACAATTTTTGCTTTATTCAAAATAAGAGAAGAGATTATGGTCTTAATTTTGTTCTCAATTTTGTGGTTCTATGTACACAGACAATACAGGTTCAGTTGTTAGAATCATGACCTTCATTTTTATAGAACTGTAGAATATTCTGAATTGGAAGGGACCCATAAGGGTCATCAAGTCCAACTTCTATCTTAAACACAAGACAACCTAAGAGTTAAACTGTATGTCCAAGAGCATTGTCCAGATGCTGCTTGAGCAATGACTGGCGTGATGCTGTGATCACTTCCCTGTGGACCCTGACCACCCAGTCAGTGAAGAACTTTATAGAATGATAAAATTATTTTATGCTTATGAAACCTTTTGCTGTCAGATATTATATTGCATGTACATATAAGACTTAAACTGCTCTTTTTAAGGACTTTGTGTAGTTTTTTAAAGTATTAGAATTAAGAATTACAGGAATTATTGTGGTTTCTGATCAAATTCTGAGTAGTTTTGTTTTCAATCTCCTATACTGCAGCTGTGTCTTCTGTAAGGCTGATGAGCTGTTCACAGAATATGAGTCGAAACTCTTTTCTCAGACGTAAGTTCATAGCTATATAATTTTTTCACTTCAAAAAGAAAAAGTTGGATTGTTTTGTATTTTGTGCTTACAGTTTTCTGAAATACTTTGAACAAATTAAAACTTCTTGCTTGGGGTCTTGATAGCAATTTCATTAGGTTAAATTTTCTATGTAAAATTCATTTGAAGAAGTTGTGTACAAAGAACAAATACATGCCACTCTTTCTCAGGCTGCTATAATTGGCAGTATGTGTGAAGTGTTGAAGTGTTCAGAAAGAGCTTGTGTAAATACGTGGTGTAATGCCATACCCTTTCACTGATATTTTTCTGTATAACTCAAAGTAAGACAATTTGACTTAAGCCACAATGAGGGAGGAGACTTCAGACCTGAATGCAGCTGTGATCTGAAGGAAAGGTTGCACCAATCCATGGTGTGAAAGGAATATACGTAGTGGACAGTAGTGAGGCATAGGTCCTCTGAATCCTTCTTGACTTTTATCTCATATCCCTTACAGCATCAAAGCTAGATTTGAAAATCTTAATGTCACTTGAGAAAACATTTGGAATGTCTTCCCTAGTGGGAGCTCTGTTAGGATCGTTGGAATCACTAGGAAACATTGGGGTGTTTTCTGAATTGGCATTGTTTATTAAGAAGGTATCTGGGAAGCTGCACTGTTCTTAAACAGTGCAATGCATTGCATTATATTTTGCATCAGAATTTGATTAACTCTTACTGATTAAAGAAGTCAGAGTTACATTTTTTAATTGAATGTGACATTCTAGAATTGTTAACTACTGAAAGATAATTAAAATGTGTAAGCATCTTACAAAAAGCTGTTAATGATTTTCAGCTGACAAAATGGCCTGTACAGTAATTTGAAACCAAGTAGCAAAACATTTGTCTGTATTTGTTTAGTTTGTTTTTTTTCCTTTAATCAAATATTAGAAGGCTGAAATATAGGATGAATAGTAGAAACTGATGTGGAATTCTAAATCAGTAATACCTTGTTGGCTTTATTTTTAAGTGTTAAAGGCCAAATGGCTATATTTGAAGAGATGATAGAAGATGAAGAAGGGCTAGTTGATGACCGTTTGCCCACCACAAGTAGAGGACTGTGGGCAACCAGTGAAACTGAGCGTGCCCTGAAAGCTATTCTCTCCTTTGCTAAAGCTCACCGGATGGATGTTAAGCTAACTGAAGAAGGTAGCATATTTCTGGAACTCTTTGAAGCATGGAAAAAGGAATATAAGGTACAGCAAATGAGATGATAAAGAAATATAGAAATAAAGAAATATTATAAGTAATACATGCAGATTTAAGCTGCATATGAACAAATATTTAAATTGCGCTTCTGAAATTAGTTTGTATACACAAAACATTTTTGTGGTGATTATTACATGATTTGATTTAAAATGGTTTATATATGGTTTAAGGACATCTAAAAGATCTGTACTGGCAAATAAGCAATTTAGTAAGCACTGTAATTGCATCTGTTAGGATAGTATCTAGATACAATTAAATGTGTTTTTCTGCTTAGTTAAATCAGAACGTAGCAAGACAGCAAATCAGTTGGTCAATTCTGTAATTCAGTTAACCTTCAATCTTGTGCTAGCTATAGACGTCCCTTCATACGCTTTTTTTTATCCTGGATCTTTTTTGCCATGCAATGTAACCTAGAATATTAGTCTGCCATTCTTTGGATCAGAGGGAACTGCTGGAGCATAATGTGGCTTTCTTCATGCGTTCTGGCATGTCTCGGTGTCCTTGCAGTAAATACCAGTGTTGGAGATAGGGGAAGAACTTTTGCATACAAGGGTATCATCCTATCTTATAGCCTAGATATAATCAAGTGTTTTCTTTCAGATAGTTATCCTTTTCATTTTTGATTAAAAAAAATAATAATAATTTTTGGCATTTGCATCACTGAAGTTTTTGATATAGTAATTAAATTGTGGAAAGCTTGGGAAGGCATATTTTATGGTATTATCAGTAATTTAGAAATAATATAACATCAATTTGTATGCGTAGTATACTTCCAGTCCAAGACGTTTCTTTTGTAGAAAGTCAGCATTTCCTTTTACTTGGGAGATCTGAATCTGATTTAATCTTCACCCTGTGCTTGTCTGTTCTTTTGTCAAGACCATTAGCATTTATTTAAAACATACTTCACCTTCAAGAAGTAATGTTTGTACTATAACAGCTAACTGCTCAAAAATTGGTTAATCATTTTCCCTTATTAAACAATTTTGTTTCTGATTTTTTAGTTGTGTAATAATAATAGCTGTAGAAGAAATGAGAGACCTCTTTCATAAAGAGACTGGAAAAGAGAATAAGCAAAAGGCATAGGGATAATCTTGTTGCCTTCCTTTGTAATTTGTTGTTGTGTCTGAATTAGTGTAAAGAAACACTATCTCTTATTCAAAAATGTTTTCATATTATACAGTGTATGGTCGACTCATATAAAGGGAACTCAACTCAGTTCTGCTACTAATTTGTTTAGGCTTTTCTTATAGTTACTTCATGAATATTGGATGGTGCTAAGGGATCACGTGTCTGCTATTGATGAGCTAGCAATGGCTACAGAACGGCTGAGGGTGCGTCATCCTGATGAGCCAAAACCAAATCCACCAGTTCTCCACATCATAGAGCCACATGAGGTGAAGTACTTGACAGGAAAGACATCTTTTTTTTCTGAAAGAATCAAGTTTGGAGACTGTACCTCAAGTGTGTGTGTGTGTGTGTGTGTAGTGAGAGAGAGAGATCTATGTATAAGTTCTATAATGCACCTCTGTTTCAATTTCAGAATGCTTGGGTGGAATAAACAGAAAAACATGCCACTTTTAAATGTATTGTATGGGCCTTTTTGAGTTTATAATTCTTACATGGATATATTCTGTCAGCCTTCTGGCTGTATGAGTGGCATGTTTCCAGAAGACTACTGTCTTTCCAGCAGCAGGTGAATAGCTGAGGGACCTGTCTGGTATTGCCCAATTTTGCAACCTGGTGGAAAATGAAGTTGACCTGATTTCTGACCTGCATTGTTACTTTCCACAAGGACTTTAAAAAAAACAGCAGTAAAAAAAGAAAAGAAATAGACACCTTATTTCAGTGCCTTGGAATCTGAGCCACCTCTGGGACATTTTCTGTTCTTGAACACGGGAAATGCTGGGTTGATTTCACTTCTTAATTATTTTCTTTGCACAAATAGAAATATGTTTTCAATACAAATATATTTTCCTTTTTTTCCTGTGAAGGCTCAGTGTTAGATATAAGTGCTACTATAGGAAAATAGACGTTTCATCTATGTATTTTTTGTATTTATACATGTTTAACGCTGTTTCCATAGGTAGAGCAAAATCGAGTGAAACTTCTGAATGACAAGGCAGTTGCTAAATCACAACTACAGAAGAAATTAGGACAACTTCTGTATCTAACTAATCTGGAGAAGGTAAGGTTTATGGTTCCTTGATCTTTACCAAACTAAAGTGATATATTCTACTTACTTGAAGAAAGTTGCCGTTATTTCATTTAAAAATTGCATTTTCAAGTAAATTCAGTTCCTGTAAAGAGTCACACTACATATTGAATTTGTGTGGTGTTCTGTGTTACTGCATATTCATAAAGTTATTTATTAAGTGTTACTAAGTGTAATAATAAAATATAAAAATGTAAAAATGTAATGTAAAATATAAAAATGTAATAATAAAATAGTGTAATAATATTAAAAGTGTTATTTTGGCCATCTGATTAATTACACAAACATAAAACTATGAAGTAGTTATAGCTGGTTAAAATACTCAGTAAACTAACTGGGCCAAGTTCAGAAGAAGGCTTGTAAATCTATGTACCTCTGCACGTACTTCTTGCTATTCTACCAAGACCTTGTTTCCTTAAATAGAAGAACAAAGAGCTTTATAGGTTAAATATTAAAAATGTCAAACCAAACACCATGTATATTAGTGTTAATCATAGTGTTCAAGTAAGCATAATTAAGTATATTTAAGTGTTTTTACAACAATATAAAGCTGAGAGAAAATATAGCTAGCTTCTCATTTGAAGCTTCAATTTTCCTTAGATTTTTCAAAACTGTACTGCAGATGATATCTGAAGGACCGCAGCGTGAATAGCACTTACATAAATTATTTTTTTTAAGTTTCTCAAGATAGTCTTTTCTTCATGGGTAATGTGTTTTAGTTTGTGCGCACAACTTCTAAGGATCTCAACATTCATTTTTCCCAGAAGTTTAAGTATAGAATAACTTTTACATTGATAAATATATATTTATGTATATATGAAAACTATATTAATAACACAGAACACATTTTTCTTCTACTTTACAGTCTCAGGATAAAACGACTGGGGGAGTTAATCCGGAACCATGTCCTATCTGTGCACGTCAACTGGGAAAACAGGTAAGATATTTTACAAAAGCAAAAACTACTGACTAATTCTTTACCTAGATCTGAGTCAGTTATATATCAAGACTGCCGTTATGTTTTATCTCTGACTTGGAGGATTTCACTGAAAGGAAAAGCAGTCTTGTCTTCAACTTTGTTCAAGACTGTCACTTGAGAAGATGGTAGCCATCACATTTCAAGGAAGTTTTACAATGCTTTGCGTCCTGTTTCTGTATGATTGGAAGAACCTTGTAAAGACTGGAAGATCTCTTGTTTGGTTGCCAGACATTCAGTCAATTCCCTCTGCTAATTAGACCTGTGAATTTTTTTTAATCTTGGTAGAGCCTGTAGAGCAGACTAGTACAGGATGGACTTCATAGACACAAAAAGATTGTTTTACAAATTACTTCTATGTGAAGGGAGGTCACAGATGAGATGTAGATATTCTAAGCCCTCAAAGGAAAAACAATTTCTGCAACACCAACTTTGTTTCTAACACATACTGTCAATAAAAGATCAATCTTCCATGTTCAAAATATTTCCTTTTAAAAACCCAAACATGTTGCCTAGGACTTTGGTGGTATGAAAGAAAATGTTCTAATTCATGCCCCTTGTAAAGAGGCTGCGGGTACCCTGTTCCTGGAAGTGCTTAAGGTCAGGTTGAGCGGGTCTTAGGACAAATGGATCTATTAAAAAGGGGCTGGACTAGATGATCTTTAAAGGTCTCTTCTAACCTAAACTAGTCTATGATTCTTTGACTTTTACGGAAGTCTAATACAAACATTTGTGTAATCTTGTTTTAAAACGTTGTAAATGCTTATTCCGTGTACTTAACCTATTCATTACAAATTAGTGTTCATAGAAATGAGAGACTGTCATGTCTGTCTTCAAGTTTAGAATTGGGAAAATACAAAAAAATAAAAATAAATGCAGTGCAATTCTATGGATTATGAATTACTCTGTGCTGAAAACCTGTGAAATCCAGTCTTTTTAGCAGGTGTAGTAGTAAAAATATTTCTAATATTCTTTATTTTTAAGCTGACTACTTCAATGAAAATAATGCATCTATGAAGATGTAATTTAACGTGTTTAATGCTCTGGTTTTCTTTTGCATTTATGTGAAACTGATAATGTTTCTTTTTTTTCAATTCCCTACATAGTGGGCAGTGCTGACATGCGGACACTGTTTTTGTAATGAGTGTATAGCTATCATCATAGAACAGTACAGTGTTGGCACACGCCGGAGCTCAATTAAATGCGCCATTTGCAGGCAGACAACATCTCATAAAGAAATATCATATGTCTTTACTGCAGAAACTGCAAATCAGGAGGATGATATTCCTGTGAAGGTAAGCTGTGCCTGGGGGAAGGCCTGGTAAACAGATTAAAAATTACACATTTGTGAAAACTAACACTATTTTAGGGTGAGAGGGTGGGGTGAGAGCTTCTGCTGAGCCTAAGTTTTGGTGTTTTTTTGTAAGTGTTTAAAACTGGGTAGAAATAAATGTTTTTTTGCAGGTGGATTTTTTGTTGCTGTTGAGGTGGTGATTTTTCTTTTTGTATCTAAGGAGATATGACGCTTTTTGGAGGCATAGTTTTGATACCTGTTCTTGAATGAAATGTATAAAGTTTGAGAAAACTGTCTGTACCATAAGGTTGTTATGAATTTAAATTATTTATATTATCCTAAATCTTCACTGTTAGCCAGAGAATATAAATCCCAATTCTGAATCTAAGATTAGTCATCTGAAATGTTTCTTGAGCTATTAGGGTACAGTAGTTTTTCACTTGGCTTATCTGTGAAACGTCTGGTGTACAAACCATAATTAGGGGGGGAAATGCAACTCTAAATATGACTAATGAAAATTAAAAGCCTGAAAAAAGCTATATTAAGAAATAAATTACATTTAAAAAGCTATTTTAAAAGCTATAGCCTGCAGACTATGGCTGTGCTTCCTTCCTCTAACTTGCCCACTAATAAACTAGTGGTTTCACTTCAGGTTCTAATAAGCATATTCAGTAATTTGACCAAAAATTTAGTAATAAATCACATTAGAGAAACTGGAAGTTTTTATACCATAATATATCATTTCTCAAAGGCAATGCTTTTCATTGGTAAGTATTGACAATTAATCAGTTCTATATCAGTTCTATCTCCAAAGGTTTCTCTTTGGAGAAAGGACTCTCAAATGAGTTCTGTAAAATCTACCTGTACATTTTGGAAGCATTGTATTCCTGGTTCTCGCCCTCCTTTGGGCTGACTACAGATAACTTTCCTATTTACCTTTTGACATACCACACAACTCCTGCAGACTTGTTCAGCCAGAGTATATATATTCCTGCACATACAGATTTCCATACCACAGCATCACACGTTGCTTGAATTCCCCAATGACCCTCTTGACATAAAACAGTTAATATTTGCCTCATTAGCACTTTATTCAGCATTTTTCTCCCATCAGGGAGTATCTGTTTTCCTTTGCACTTTGACTCTTAACTCCTTAAAAACCTCTTCTCTTGAAATTTTTAAGGTCTTAGTTTTGGGTAGCTCAACAATTCCCTGAATCCTGTCTGAATCTTATTCTTTGTTCCCCCTCAGACACCAGATTCCCTAAATACTTGACTTCCCATTCTATGTATTGTAATTTATTTTCCCAATGCTTTCAAGTCCTGTTCTCCCAGAAAGTTAAATAGCTTCTCAGTGGTTTCCTTCACAACTGTTTTCTCCTGTCCTAACAGTAAAGGATCATCCACATATTGTAACAGTAACACCCTCTTTGGAGGTTGGAATTGCTCCAAAATTTGTTCTAGAACTTGCCCAAATAAATTTGTGGCCCTATAAACACTTGTCTGCCATTCCTTTGTCTCTTTTCCTCTCCTTTCCATCCTGGGCCCTCTATCTCCCCCTCTGCCTCACTACTCAGTACACTGAGAATACCGTTTGTGTTGCTTTCTACTTTTCCTTCTCATATCCCCTCCTGGCATACACCTTCATACTACCTACACTGTTCGCTCCATCCTCTCACCTTCTGGAGGTTTTTCTGCATATCCGGCCAGGCTTTAATCACAAAATGAACTTTAAAGAGCCCTTGGGCTACTGGGTCCACAGGAATCATCCCTGAGTACATTCTAATTCTGACCCTGAGTCTCTCATAGGATTTCTATGTTGTGAGTTGTTATTATCACAGTTAGATAAGCAGATATTTCTGATTTTTTGGAATTACTCTCGGTCTTGGGGGGGTTAGTTCTTTCCCATTCTTGCATAGCCTGGCAAATCATTCCCCTCCTAAACATTCTTCTCCAGGGAATAACATACTCAAGATTGACATTTCCCCCCCAGGAATACAAATTAGGCCTTAGAAACTGATTTGACAGTTCTGCTAGGCTCTCAATTAGTCTTCATTTCCTTCTTAAAACTCCTAACCTTTCTGCTGGTAATGGGGGAGTGGCACAGGCCCTGCATGGCCCTGAGGCCCCGCTGGCCCCCCCCACTGCCACTCCTGCTGCTCTGTGCTCCCGGGCATAACTTCTCCAGGGACAGCATCAATTGCAGTCCCTGTCTCCCCTCCTGGAGCACCTGCCACTGCCTCTGGTGCAGTACTAGGATTATAGGGAGCAGAACAAGATTCCTCATCTGAAAACGAAACCTTACTGTTTACATATAAATTTCAAACCTGAATTTTCATCAGACCCATATTTTGGCCAAAATACTGAAGTTCCTTTTATTAGCTTTTTAGGCCAAGCAATTACACAATATCAAATCATTTATTTAATTGTATATTTTTAAAATCTTTTTCCCTAGTTTTTGGGTTGTTTTTCCAAATCCTTATCATGCTCTCCAAAGGGCTATCTTTAGGCACAATCCCGGGGTCTCCAATCCCACCCTGCTGACTCTTGGAACCCTTAATCCCCATCTTAATCCCCAGCTCTTCCTGACGTGCTGCTGTGGACTTCACCACCCACAGGGTACCACACTCCTTCACGTAGGATTAGGACAGAGGTGGGGTGTACTGCCAAGCACCATGCTCAGGGTACCATACACCTAAGGGCCCAAACACCCCAATACTCTCTTTCACTCCTCTCCTCTCTATTTCGCTTTGTCCCTCTCCAACCAAGGGGACTTCATTCGTCCCCTTGCAGGACCACCAAGCCTTGCAAATTGGGGCTTCGCACTAAAAGTGCCTCATTCACACTCATTCACACCAGAGTCTCCCCGAACCCAACCCAAGGCAAGATACAGTAAAGTTTCCCTTACCTCGGTCCGTGCACTGTTTCCCAGTCTGGGTTATCAGCAGTAATCCCCGTGCCTCTTCCCAATGTGGGCTGTCTGTGTGTGTTTGTGCTTGCCTCCCTTCTCCCCAGAGCTTTGCAGAGCCTGTCTTCAAATTAAACAGACTCGGTCCTTTGCTGGCCATAGCGAGATGGCCCACCACCCCTGATGGAACCGCTGAAATCAGCGGGGTGCACCTTCCAGTCTATGGTGGCAAGAAATCTTCGGCAGGTGACAAGATTCCAGACGAGCCCCCAAATTGTGAGAAACGTCTCAAACAATTTTCTTCAGACAGGATCTTCTGTGAAGCTATTTTATTTGCAGTTGCAATGGTGGGCGTCTTGTCAATCAGGAGTGCATTTTAGTAAACAAATCATAACCTTTTATTCCCTATTACCTGATGCTTGATCGTCTCCCCTGTTTGCTCATTGGCTGAGTACTACAGGTTCACAATCTACTCGATGCTCATCTATACCATATATGTACAATTTTTCTTCTTTCTTTCAACCCTTTAATTTATCCTTTCCTATGTTTTGAGAACTTGTGATCTTTGATTTACTGTTCTCACACTGCTCATCCTGGTTTTCTCGAGCTGCTACCTTATTTTGGAACAGTGAGGCCTTCTACTGTCCACTTATCTACTTAGCATTTCTCCTTATTATGACTACACAACTACCTTGGAATACAAAAAAGTAATTCTCTACTGCAGAAACACAACTTTGTTTCTTGTACTCTGGTGCAATATTATGGGGGGAAATTGTCTGTTTTCCCTATGCACATAGTTAATAACATAATTGGGAGGCCACTTTCTTGGAGCTCATTTCCTATTCTTTTGATCTAATTGTGTGCTGCAAGCTTTTTTTCCATGTTTTAGATGAGTTTTCTGGACCCTGTACTGTTGGGTACTCTGAAACAACACTGTCATTTTTGGTTGTTTTCTTTTTGTTGATTTTTTTGTTTGTTTGTTTTGTCTGTTTTAGTTTGCAAAATCAAAAGGTAGATTTCGGAAAAACTGAGTGCCTCTTGCCTGTTTGCATTTTAAACTTGACAGTGTTTGGTCAAAGCTTCGTTGACTGGATACCGTATACCTACAGAAAATGTAATTACTGAATGAAGATTGACTTTCAGTCTTAAAACAAATGCCTGCATATCTGGGGAATTTCTTTCCCAATACTTTCCATTGACAGTGTGCAACAGCTCTACTGATCACTGGAAGTTGCATCTTCCAATGTGACTCTGTTCTTTTTAGCCTGACTTTTTAAGAAGTTATGGTCTTTTCACTGTGCTGTCTTAGAATTCTCCTGTAATTTAGCAACCCATTGGTTAATTTCAAACAGTGTGACAGTCTCTTGAGTTTCCATGATTATTCATTTTCTAGAATTCTTATAAAAGCAGCCATCCATCTGAAGCATGGATGAATTTCCCTTTTCCACAAAAGACTTCTTAAAATTCAGGTTATTGGAGAAACTGTTTGTAACTTGTGTGCATTCCTAATGATGTTAATGAACCTGTAGACGCAAACATGTAGGAGATCAGTCATGATTGCACTGTTTTATCTACCTTTCTTGTTAACTTTGAGTATTTGTTGGGTTAGAATCTGGGGAGGAGGAGGAGATAGTATATCTCTGACTCATTAACAGTACTGACGTGTAGTACAAGGTATGTCTTTGTACAAATCTGGTGTAATGTTAAAGCAAAAGCCTGTGGTCATTGAAGTTGTAGAAAAAAATAAAGGGTTCTGGATTAAAATGCAAAAGTAAAAGACTCATTGGTAATATTTTGATTTAGATGATGATACTGTCTTTAACTAGAATGTGATTATGGTACAGCTGGATGTAGCAATCATAGTTTTCATTTGGTTAGTATAGTTGAAAGCAACAAAATGTGCTGACAGAAACTTCCAAGTTATCTGTGCAAGTCTCCTTTGAACCTTGCATATATACTAGGGTTGCTGGCCTTCGCTGAAGTCAATGCTACCATATTCAGGCTATGTATCTCAGCCTTCCTGGACAATGGAATTATTTTTTGTGAGTAGATGCTTCCTAAATCAAAGACTTGATGTAGTTGAAAGCATGTGGCAGCAGGGGGAGTAAATGGACTGTATTTCTGAAGTGCTAATTATAGAAGTTTTAGCAGACAGTTTACTAAGGGTTTAGAGATACAATCCTGTTTCTAACAAGAAATACTTCAAATATGTTTTATAAATTACATAAGTAGAATAACCAAATTTCTGAAATAAAATACAGAAGGAACAGGTCACCTACTCTCCTGCATAAAGGGCTATAGAGTTCCCTAGAACTCTATAGTGTCTGCATCAGAACTTGAGGTGACACAAAAAATATGAGTTTCATGTGAATTTTCATGGTGTTTTCAGCAAGGGCCATTCTTATCTCAAAAAAAAAAAAAAAGTTTAGTTTACATTGTAGCCTCAGTGTTTTTGCTATCAAAGCAAGCAGGAATATTAAAAATATTTTTCATCTCATTCCTTTAAGGACAGTTGTTAACGAAAGATAACTAACTTGCTATGGTTTTTGTAACATCTTGCACTGCGATATGTGAAAATTGTGTGATTTATTCAGAATTTGTATATTCATATGAAAGTTCTTCTGTTCTCTTTGGTCTTTTTCAGTATTCAGTGTCTCTTGTTTTGTTGGTGTTTTTGTTTTGTGTTGGTGGTTTTGTCTTTGTTTTGTCATATACATCTTATTTTGTTGTACCAGCACTAGTCACAGTAAGTTAATGCATTAGATGTGAAAAGACTACTGTAAAAGGGAGCATTCTATACTGAGAGAGAGCTTACTGGCATCCCTGTATGTTTTGCTTCTATAAAAGCTTCCAGTGTCTGGTTAGTGTTATCGTGGGCATTGCTAGTTTGTTATCTGAGAAATTGCTTGTTAGAGGGTAGTTTTATTCTCCTGTGTGCTGTTCCATAATCATTTAGAACTGCCTGATCTGTTTTTATATTCTCTTCTGATACTCAAGAAAATAACAAATTTCAAGGTGTGTGGGTAATGGTGGGGTAACTTTTTTTTAAGAGACTGGAAACCAAGAACTCATAATAGCCAGGGTACTTCTATTAGTTTCAGCTCTCTGTAAATACTGAGAACAAAATTTAATTTTCTTGTGTGCTGTGAAAAAAATCTTTGGTCAATTGTTAGTTCAATGATGAGTCAAATATAGTTTGTCTAATACAGTTCAAGCAGAGGGATGAAGAACTTGGCACGCTTAACACACATCTTGGCAGAAATGACTGAAGATTAAGAACATGGAAAGGTCATTTACAGTTTTAAATAACGTTAAATTAAAATTTAGTTTATTCTGTGCCTGTGAAGAGGGTATAAAACCTCAGGTTTCCAGGGTTTTACACTTGTGAAATATTTTGCCATGCGTGTTCAGAAGGCAGACTCCAACTTGAGGTGCTGAGACAAGTAACCCTAATGAAGAAAAGTAGCAGGGACAAATGATGCTTGAAGCAGAAGACTCAAGTTTCCTCAGGTTAGACAGGTGCACAGGTTGAACTGGCAGTGCAATTAATGTACTTCATTTTGGATTTATGGATTGGCTTTCTGCAAGAAGTTTTCTTATTGGCAGAGGTTTACATTTGGTCAGTTTGCTTTTTGTTTCTCAATAGATTTGGTATTGTATGTAAAAATAATTGCTTTGCAAATAGTAAGAGATTCTGTATAGTGTGAATGATCAAGCAGCCTGGTGTTGGCTTCCAACTTGTGCTTAGACTGCTGTCATCCTTCCCCACCAATTCTGCAAGCGGCATAACTTCAGAGAATTTGATCCCTCATTGTGGCAAGCCAACATAGTTAATTCAATGTTCAGAGGACAGGTGCAGACAGAAATAAAACAATATTTGTCCAGCTGAATCTAGTGCAGCTTGAAATTGCTATACATGTAAGAACTAGTAAGCAATTAAATAATGGCTTCTTAAAAAAGCATATTATGTAAAGTTACTGTAATACAAAGTGCGTACTGAAGGAGATAGAGGGAGATACTACACAACTTGTTGAGAATCCTCTTCATGACTAAAGGGGAAAGAAGTCTAAGAATATAGAAACCAAAGTCTACAAGAAGTAGTATTGAGTTCATTAAGCACTGAAATACAAATGCAGAATATGAAGATGTTTTCATCACAGTGATGAATCCTTCAAGAATTAATTGTTATACTTAGTAGCTTCTTAATATTTTAAGGTAATTAGCCAGCTTTATAGTAATGAGTGTAAGTTTAGTGTTGCCAGAGTGAGAAACAAAAGCAACAGAAATAAGGTTCATACAGGTTTTTTGCATTATTGCCTTTGAGGAAGTGTGAAGAGAAGGGAAGTTAAATGTGCGTTGGGAAAATTCTTTAAAGCATGTGTTTCTGGGTAAGTTGAACCTTAGCAGGCCTAACTGACACACTTGGGTGTGATTGCACTTCTTGGGTTATGCAGTTTGCCTCATCCAGAACTAGGTAAGCATATCTGTAGTCCTTCATTCTTCCATGTACTGCACGTGCTGTAATACGTCATTGATCTATAGTAGTGCCTTACATGGGAGATTTCAAAGCAGTTCAGTGCTACTTAACCTGCTCATTCTCCAAGTTGGTAATATTTGAATCTGTCCCAAGTCAGCTTGGGAAGTTGCCATCTAAATAGGTCAAGAGTCTTCAAAATTGAAGTACTATGTTCTCTTTTTGAAAAGTATTGCAGCTTTATGAAACAATTTGCTGATGTCTTTTTCAAAAATGTGTAAGATAAGTAAGAGTCCTAATATAGCATTTTTTAATAAAACAATTAATTTGGAAGTTGTTGTTTAGTATCCTACTCTATTAATGGTGTTTTTTTTGTATTTTCAAAGGGGAGTCATTCCACCAAAGTGGAAGCTGTGGTTCGAACACTGAAGAGAATACAATTTAAAGATCCAGGGGCTAAATCCTTAGTTTTTTCAACGGTATTAATCACCATTTTCTGTTTTGTCTTTGTGTATTGTGTGTTTTCTGTGAGTTTAAAATGGTCATAATATTTCCTGGGATTTAGTTTAGCTACCACAATGTTGAGTCATTTTGTACAGTCACTAAATTGTTCTGTGAATTTGTAGGGCAGTTCATGTACCTGGGATACAATAATCCTAGTCAACAAGATGTAACAGTTTCTTTTGTTAAAAGACAAATGCGTATATAGGAGCATTGGAAATTCTAGGTATCTTTAAATGTAATGCCCATATATTTTTGATAGATTATAAAAGCTCTTTGTGGTGGCTGCCAGTTATTTTTATTCAAGCTGATTTTTTAATTATCTTTTATGTTTAGATTTATGAAATATATGGTTCCTGTCATGCAAATCTTTTTTTTTTTAACCTTAAATATTAGTATTTTGAAAGGCTTTAATTTATTGCAGTTGTCATTGTTTGTAATACTGACTTCTGTTGTGTTGTGTTTTTGTTTGTTTGTTTGTTTTACAGTGGCAAGATGTATTGGACATAATTTCAAAAGCTTTGTATGACAACAATATGACTTTTTCTCAGATCAATGGAATTAGTAAGTTTCAGGTACATAAATGATATTTTTCTTTAAATTGTTTTCAGCTGGATATTATAGTTCTTAGAAGTTAATTTGATCCTTTTACTTCATTGCTTCATTTGAGAAACTAAAAGAGCAGCAAACTTGTTTAGCAGAATCTTTGGTCTCTGAATTCTAAAAATAATACTAGCCACAATTTAAAGCCTTTGAAGATTTAAAAAAAAAAAAAAAAAGCATGTTCTCTTTTGAGAGGGCAGCGTTGGCTTGTTCATGTAGATGTTGAAATGTTAAGAATGAGAGACACTGATCAGTGTTGCAAGAAATCCTCACCTTCCTGATAACCTGTCTGGTACTTGTTTGGTGATGACAGGGCTTGTATCAGGCTACAAGACTGTCAATATGGAGTCTGGAGTGTCTGCTGTAATTGCTTGAAAATATAAAGATGTCCCCATGCTCTTTATTCAGGAACTTTTGTCATGCTGCTGTGATTTTTGCCTTTTAGGAAAATCTCTCTGCATTTAAATATGATCCCAAGATCAATATTTTGCTGCTGCCCCTTCATACTGGTTCCAATGGACTAAACATAATCGAAGCGACTCATGTTCTGCTTGTGGAACCCATTCTGAATCCTGCACATGAGCTTCAGGCCATTGGCAGAGTACATCGTATTGGCCAGACGAAGTAAGAGTTCAAATTGCTTTAAGAGGTTTAGTGGTCTGGAGGTCCGGAGTAGACCTACATACTGTAATCGGAATAAATCCAGTTCACTGAACTTCTCAGTTTTGGAGATGAGGCTATTCATAGGGACTCTATTTTTAAAGGTGATCACATGAGGAACAGAAACAATAATAGTAGCGAAAAGCTTTATGAAAGTCCACAACATGTAGTTTTGGGAGCTCTTGTTCTATTAGGGTAAGATGCAGAGGCAAACTGCAAATTTAGAATTTTAGCAAGAGTGTAGGTTCTTGAGTCCAAAATCCTGAAAACCCTTGTGCAGCTGCTGCACTAATTTGTTTGCCTTAAGTTCCTTTGTTTTTAACTTTGAAGTTCTGCTTCTAGGCATGTCCAGAAACGTCTTAGCTTTGCAGGTCTGAGCAACTCACCATTTATGTCGTATGTGGCTAAGTTCAGGCCTGAATTTAGTTCATCCTAGTTTCCCTGAGAAACTTACTCTGTCTGGTCATTCCCAGCTCCAGATTACAATCTGTGTTAAATCATGTTTTGTTTTTTTCTTCACTCTTAAAATGGAAGCTGTTACAGTGAGAATCATTTCACCTGATGAAATGCAGCCTTCACAAGGATGTCTGAGGCCAGCTTTCTGACTGCTTCTATTGCTTTGGAATTTGAGTGATTATACCGCTTAAGAGAGTGCCCTCATCGCTCTCTTAGATTAGGGTCCTGCCCATAGTTAACAGAGAAACTGAGTAAATTCAGAAGAAAAATTCCTAAATACCACATCTGGTTCAAGTACTTAATCTGCAAATGGTTAGAGTGTAGAAGAGTACTAGGGAAAAATAGATTGTACACCTTGTCTGTATTTTTAAAGAGTGTTTAACAGGCTTTAGCTCCTGTTGAAGGCAGTACCAGTCTATGTGGACTATGTTCTAACTGTTACGCTGATCACTTTTTTTCAAGTATTTGTCATTTTCTATGGTTAGAAGGGTCAGAAAGTAAATACCTACAAAAATGTAAAATAACATTGGAAGATTTTCTTAAATGTATTGAAGAAAATCTATGAAAATCTAAAAGACCAGTTACAGCACACTCTATAAAGCTGGTTAGCTTTTCACAGTTCTTCCTTCACCTCTGAGTAGGTCATTTTGAGAGATTAATGAGTTTCAATATCTTTTGTTTCAGTGTCTTAGATGTTAAATAGGTAGTACTGAACACTTAAAATAACTTCTAGAAAGTTTTTCCTGAATGAATTATATGCAAATTATAGGTTTCATGTTACTTGAAAAATAGTAATGAAAGAACGCTGCATGTGAAGTTAGAAAGATAGAATCAATCCAGAAGTAATATTCTGGAATAGTAATAATGGGTTTATGTTTTGGAAATAGAATCAAAAGGAGAGGGCATGAAATGAGCATATATGTGAAATAATGCATATGGACAGGTGGATATTTGTGTGTTAGTAAAGACTTTAAATTAATGGTAAGGATGTAGGAAAGATCAATTGCAAAAGCCTGCATTATAATTTTACTTGATGTTGGCCTAAGAGGTCTGGTAAAAACCTTGCAATAAAAACCAGCAAGAATGTATTATACTTCATAAAAGCCAGACTTCAGCAAACTCTTTTTTTGAAAAAGAGCCGTATTCAAGTCCAGTGAGCATAGCTCAGTTGAGTTCTTATTTATTTCTCTTTTTCGGTAGGTAGGTCTCTGCCTATGAATCACAGAGTATTTCCCCAAAATATTCCACTGTGTGATGTTACCTAACAAATTTTCAATTTAAATTCTGAAAAACATCCAATCACTTTCAAGGGTTCATATATTGAAAAATGTTTACATTGAGGAGTTTCTGAATGATTTTTACATTATCTGTGAAACTGACTTTTTTCTGTTTCACTTTGTTATACTCAACATTTCTTTTATCTGTGTTGTTTTTTTGTGTGTTTTTTTTTTTTTTGAAACATAATTTAACAAATAGGGCCTTCATTTTGTTCTGTGCTTACTGACTTTTAAGTTTTACTGGTGTTTAAAGTTTTGCATTTACTGACTTTAACATTTTTATACAGTTTTGCCATCTTCAAGAAGAATGTTATTAAAACTCTAGGAATGAGTTTATTATCCATTGCACTAAACTCTGCTTCTTGGACTGACTTGTGATGATGCAGTATAAACATTATATATAAAGAGTGAGCCAAAATTATTACTTTAAACCATATGGGAAACTCTCAAGGACTGTTTGTAATAGGGACATAGAAAGTAAAACTTTGCCCAGTGTCTGCTTTAGGATTTTAGTTAATACAGCTTATGCTAATGTAGTATGTGATCCAGCCAAGTGGAATTGCATGATCTTGGAGGCACTAAGCATCCTTAAATGTCAGTGAGAGTTACTAATCACCTGCCTTAAAATAGGGGGTGTTTTTTCAGCAGTCTTAAAATAATTAGCATAAGACAAATGATCTTGAATTTTTGAGAGTAACAGCATATCTTCTGTTCACTTCTTTTTTTTGAACATGTTCAGATCTACAATTGTTCATAGATTCCTGATAAAAGCAACAATAGAAGAGAGAATGCAGACTATGCTGAAAACTGTAGATAGAAGGTATGTGCTGAATTTTTTAAACACTGTTACTGCAATGAAACTGAAAAGGAGGTTCTCAGCCATACTTTTACAATTAGGTACACATCAAAAAAAAACACCCTCTTGCTCTCCTTCAAATTCTTTTGGTTGAAAAAGAGCTTTTTAATGTGAAAAATGTATCTTTTATCTTGATTCCAGTAACTGGAAGATTAAGGTATTTTAATTCTCTGGAGAATACTTTTACATTTTGTGTACTTTGTTTCAGAAAAGCCCAATTAATGCACTGTGTATTATGATTTGCCGTTTCCTTTTACTGATTTCCATTGCTATAAGCATTGATATTAGTGGAGTACTACTAAGTTTGCCGCTGAAATGACAGCTTGCTCTAAGATACGATCTTGTTCTTTCTTTCATCATTTTTAAATTCTACAAACTGAGACTTGACACTTTGTCACACAGGTTGGTTTTGCAGTCAGTGCAAGAGTTGTCCAGATGCCAGCTTGTAAGTTGGTCTGCTGTGCAGATGCAGAAATCAATTTTCACTGTTTCTTTTCCAAAAACTCTAATCAATAAAAGACTAGGACTAGAACTTAAGTGGTATTCACATTCTTTGTACAGAAAATACAAGAGTTTTGTACCTCTTTAACTGTACTGTATACTCATAACAAATCTAGGAAGCAACACTAGTTTAGGAAAATGAGTGACTTTTCTAGCTTTTCTGGTTGTTATAAAACGAGACTTAAATAACTACAGCCAAAGACTTGCATGTAAGTTTTTCACCTTTAGTTTTGAAAGAATAGTTTAATCAGTTTCCATATCTGTTAAGTAGCACTATTTTTGCTTATAAAGTTCAAATGAATATACAGTGATCTAATGAGGGCTAATGTTTTAAAAGTAGCATCAAACCTTATGCTTGGAATCCAAAGCCAATCCCTTAAACATTGACAGGACAAAGTGGGTTATCCCCATAATTACTGAGGTTAGAACTAGGAGAACTGTAAGGTTCTTTCCAACCTAAGCAATTCTATGATTCTGTGATCCCATGTTCTGCTGCCTCTCAAGTGTTTGGTGATCATGTTAAGGACCGTAGGTGGACTTTGTATATTACTGAAATTGTGCATCAGGAGTAGCTGATCAGTGTATGCACTTCTCCTAATAGAAAGTGTGTTTTTTCTACTGAGCTCATAGCCCAACATTTATTGCATTCTGAACCATTTGTTGGTCTGTTTTCAGTACATACAGGTTGTTATTTAAATTGATTCCTTCTCTGATGTCTGCATGCAATTTTTTCCTACAGCCACACAAGCTCTTCCATGAAACAGTCAGAAGCTTCAGTTCTGACAGTGGCAGATTTGGCTGACCTTTTTACAGAGGAAACTGAAGAACTTGAGTAAAAACATTGATTTGACCTCATGATATCAGAAAGTACCTGATCTAATAAGCACTTGTATATACTCTACTTGATCTGTCATTCATTTAAACACCATCTAATCTGTCCTTAATAGAACTATTGGAAATAGAAGAGTCTTCTATTAACATTTTATTCTGTGGTGACATTCTTAGCAGCACGCATTTCTGATAGCACTGGAGAAAACTTGCACTTTGCACATTAAACAAAAATCTGGATTTTATTCCCAAAGAGCTCTTGAGCTGGATGTTGGAACTGAGATCTTGAACTGCTGGATTTTTACCATCAGGTTGGATTGGTTAGTGATTCAGTATGAGAGTAAAACTATGTGGGTGGTGGGGTGGGAAAGGGAAGCAGAAAAACACAGATCTACTTTTTTTACTGTACAAAGAATTGGTAGGAAGAATGACTGTAAATTAATATTCTTCTAGAAAGGGCTTCTAGGGTTGCTACAATTTAATGTCAGGTTACTGAACGTCTTACTGGTAACACTTTAACTAATCTTTATTAATCATTTGGATATTTGTATTAGGCTTTTAGATATTCACAAAGACTAGTGTGACAATTAAATTTTGTTGTTAATGCTCACTCACTACAGAATGATAAATTAAATTATGCTTTTTGTATGCGTGTTGGTCTGGAACTCTGTTAAACACTTAAACATAATGTACATGTTTTTCACTTACTATTGAAACCGTGACTACTTCAGTGCTTTGTTTAAACAAGAAAATACATTTGTTACAGATTTTTTTTTAAAGTAATTTGTTAAGCTGATGATCACTTTAATTATTCAGTGCTTATGTACATTTTCTCCTCCTGATTTTTTGTCTATTTCTCCCTCTCAAAGATGCATCAGTCTAAATATTCAAAATACGAGATTGCTAGGCAGTCTAAACAGTAGGTACCTAGTCTAAGTTAGATAATCAGTGAAGGGATGAAACTTTTGTGGAATTTTCCATCTTCATGTATGTGAGAACACTGCACCATCTCAGTTGACTATTGAAAGAGTTTAGAAAGCAAAAGCTGACTTTTAAGATGCTGAAGGTAGGCAAGAAATTCTAAACCTTTTGCCATAGGTTATGGACACACATTTGCTTAACATCAAGCAAGGTCAGTTACACAGTGTTATGTTTAGAGAATATGAAAATGTATGCATAAACAGGCTACTTCCTTCAGAGTACAGTATCTACTGTTTTAGCAGACTGTTTTTTGTATATTTTAGAAATCTTACTTTTGAGATTGAGTCCTTTAAGAACTCTCAGTGTTAGAATTTTTATTCTTGTCTGCTAAATAGACTTGCCATATAATTCTTGTTTTTTGTTTTCAAGAACATTATATTTAAGTTGCACCTTGTAGCCTTTTGGGTATTAAGCCTATCTGCATGGCAAACAGATTTTCCTTTGCTGACACCAAACATGAATTGAATTACATGACTAATATTGCATCAAGAAGTCTGTCTTCAGCATTCTGTTGTCCATCTGGGCCAATTAGATAAATTATTCTAAAGACTATTTGAGTAAATTTACAGACAATAATTCTTTATTTCCTGTATTTGTAATATGTACTAGTCATATTTATATATTTTGTTTTGGAGATTACTGTTCTTTTGAAGATTATAGTTTGCAGCAAGAGAAATTGAGTACATAGTAGACTTTTTTCAATGAGAGCGATCAAACAGTTTGCACAGACTGACATCTCCATCCTTGGACATGTTTGGAACTCAGATGGCACTGAGCAACCTGATCTAGCTTCAAAGTTGGCCCTACGTTGAGTGGTGTGTTGGACCAGATGACCTCCATGGATCCCTTCCAGACTAAATTATTCTACAGTGTGCTGGAGATCATGCTGTACAGACACTCTAGGAACTTTGTGGGCAGCAACATTCCAGTTTTCTCATCATCCTCAGAGAATTTCAATACTGTACAATGTAATGTGGTGGAACAAGGAGCTTCTGTTCACTGCGAGAAATTATATATCTGTTTAAAAAAATGTGGAAGCAAATAATGTTTACATTCATAGCTCCCCTTTTAAATAACTCGATGTGGGAATAATCACTGTCAGAAGCAAACTGAAAAATAACTGCTGTAAAAGGTTTCCTAAGCTCTGCAAGTTCTTGGCTTGTTTGTATAAAGATGTCAGTTTAAATGTTTATTTACAAAAATGTGGGGTTTGGATTCCAAGCCAAAAGCATAGCTTCTCATCAAGCAATACGTGAGATGTTTTAGTCCTGACTGTTTTTTAATGCTTACGTAACAGCATGCGATGCCAGAGACCTGATTCTGAGCACTGAGGACTGGCGTGCCAGAACTCAGAGCTCTGGAGGCATAACATTAATACACTTCTTGCAGTTGTAAGGTTGAATCATTGGTGTGTATGTAGCCAGAGTCAGTAATAAAATAGTTTCTACAAATTTCACAGTAGTATTAAGTGGATAGACTACATTTAAAGAATAATATTGAAAAAGAAATTGAACTGTAATTTACCACTGCTTGCCATTCTTTGCAGCATTTCGTTTCTTTAGCAGACATTTTCTTTCAGATGCTTTTAAGACGGCTCAGGAACTTATTTTTCTGTTAAGGCTGTAGCTTGTACAACTGCAGTGCTTTTCTCTTATCAACAACAGAGTAAGGCATGTTTTCATGGTGCTGCGTTTTTTGCACTACCAGGAGAGCGCTCTTAAAAGACTATCTTAGGTGGAACGATCTTTGTCCTATCTTAATTGTTCTGATATGCCAATACAAATGCTTTTTTCCACAGAAAGCAAAAGTCTGCAAATACCGACTGCGGTATTTGTGTGGACACAGTAATGTACTAGCTTCTCATGTGTTCTCCTGTGAAACAGTATTGCCAGTTTATATTTCCATGTCTTTTCCAGTGCAGTCCCTGTAAAAAGGAGGATCCAGCTGACTCTGAAGAACTTAACACTAACCTTCCATCTCTTTCAGTTCCATAGCTGTAAAATAACAATAATGCTTTTTTTTTTCCTCTCTAATTGGTGATGATTTCAGGACAGTTTTCCCCCCCATGTATAAAAGTTCAAAGCCTTGTAAAAGAGAGCTGCCACCTCAGTTAGGCATCTGTAAAAGCTTGATGCAAATAGAAGACTTTCTTAATCTACAGAAGACATCAGTATTGGAAATTCAGGAGTGCATTCCCACGTTGTGTTAAATTGAGCACCATAAATCTCACTGTGGATGTTAATGATGAGTTTGTAAGTCAAGGGCCACTTTGCACTGTAAATCAGTCTGTGCCAGGAAGACATTTTCATCGTGACTTGTTAAGTGAGTCTCTTGCATGCTAATGAAAGTCCAGGATATGCTATAGTTTCATGCAGGCCAAATATTACAAAAGAATGTTTGCCTCAAGTTTTCCCATGCATAAAGCTTCATGTTAAAGAATGGACTTGATGCTTTTTATGAGATGAGTCTTCTAAAAACTTTTCTGCCAGTATCTGTAGATATTCAAGCTGTCTGCCAGGAGAGTGTCCTCAACTTTAAAAGTAACTGCACTTCAATACAAGTGTGAGTGGGATCCTACAGAAGTTTTTTGTTAAAACTATAGTTAGACATACTTCCTCTTGTAGGATTCTGTCTGGATTAGTGGGTGAGGACCAGTTGGCAACTTTTTAGCACTGTCTTTTCAGACACAAACAGTGCAATCACTGGAAAGAATGCATGCTGTTCTCTTTCCACCCCTTTCTACAGTCCTTATTGACTATATTATGCTTTCCAAGAGTCTTGATTATTTTAATAGCAATTATTATTTCACCTAGCTACAAATGGAACCTGTTTTTTTGTTGTTGTTTTTTTTTTTTTTTTTTTTTTTTGAAACTTAGGCTTACTGCTTAAAATCTACATGATGAGCATGTCTATAGACAGGCTAGTTGCAAAGCCACTGTGCCTATGTTTTTCTTCCTTTTTTGGTTGCCTGAAACAAGTACACTCTTTGCAAGGTTATCTGCTATAAGCTACAGGAATTTCATACTGTGGACGAAAAGGAGATCCAAGTAGTCTGTCTGTCTCTGTGTCTCCTTCCCTCTGTCTCTCGCAGCTTGCTCAGTTTAATACAAAGAATGTGCTTGGCCAGTGGAAGTATAGTAGGTGAGTCACAATCCATGAAATGGCTCCAGTAAAACTAGTTTAGTGTGTCAGAGGAAAAGTGAGGGAGGGAAGTTAGCCTGGTTTTTGTTTTTGCAGCTGTAATATCTTTACCCATATTCACTGTAGATGAAGATTTTGAATTTCAGTCTGTTAATTTTTGTATTCCTGGTTTTATATTGTTCACCTGGCATATAGGAAGGCCTGGTAAACTAATTACTTAGCAATCAGTGAGGTTTACAAGTTTTAAGTTTTAAGGTCTGTCGGATTTTGTATTCATAAACTGAACACTAGAGCCACTATCATAAGTCCTGTTGCATCTACTATCTTTCTCTCCTCTTCAGAGAAAGGCTAAGTTGGGAACTCTTAAATCATTGCATTACTGATTTCAAGTCACAAGTAGTCATTTTATGTATTGCTCTGTAAAGAGCGCAGTCAGCTGAACTTGCAGATTTTGACTGTAGTGAAGGTATTAAGTCAGCTGGGGAGAAAGTAAACGAAGCAGGATTTCTAAAAACTAGAATAAACGCTACTTTGAAAATTGACGGTGTGAGATCTCTGTAAACCTCTGGCTTCATTTCTTCCTATATGCAATATGTCAAGTTTCTAGGTCTTAAATCACAAGTTGCTTTGTTTTATGTGTTTATTCAACCAAGTGTAAGATCTGATTGTTTACAGGGTGTTTTAAAATGTAAGTTGTTCCTGTAAGCTGGCTTAGATCTTTTTTGTGTATCTTTTCCTCCTATCCTGTTATGGGGCTAGGAAGTTTGGAGGATTCACACTACGTCACTGAATTTTCCCCTGTGTGCGCTAGGAGGCCACCATCATTTGTCGAAGAACTGTCAATGAATCTAGGGTTTCTTGTGACTATTATTAGGTAAAGGAAGAAAATCTAGACTGCTGTTCTTGTTACCTTGGTGGTGTTTTGTCCTGTCACACTCTGAGCATAAGGCAATGGCACTTAAACGCCAAGGTGTGTTCAGCCATCTATAATGGCTTGTTCTGCACTAACAGAGCATACATGTATTCCTATACATATTCAGCATGTGGTCTTGGATAATCAAATATTTGCTATCAAAATTGTGCGTCAGTACAGAGTCACTACTATGCTTACAAAAATTAGCTTTGGGTTAAGTCAATAAGATAGAGAATAGAATTTAAAGAAAACAGGAAAAAGGCATTATATTTGATATATTTATTGCATGTTCTCCAACTGTGAAATTTTTCATTTTCCTTCTCCCTCCTTTATGCAAGTGACTTCTTTTTATTCTGTACTGTAGGGTTTGAAGAACAAATGATGGAGGAATAGAGGGCGTATTTGACTGATCACCAACCTTTATGTCACCAAACTAGAGATTTACTTAGGCAGTGTGAAAGCCAAACTAAGTCATCCTGGTGTGATTTATTTCAATTTATTTAATTTAATTTCCAAATGCTACTTACTATATGGAGCTGTGCAACCGGAGTTTCTGGGACCGCCTATTCTATTGTCCCTTTATCAACCCAGATACTGCCAACAGGAAATCATGGTTGCAAAAAGTTTCTGATCTCCTGTTCTTTAACAGTGGCCAATTCCTGATCACAAAAGATATGTATAGGAAACTGATGAACAGTCATTCTGATTCTTCCTTCTCCCAAGTAAATTAGTGCAGTTTTATATTGCAAGTAAGTATATTATAGCTGCAAGTAGAAGAATTTGTTTCTGTTCCAGCTTCTCCCAACATGCTGGAAAGTAAACCAAAGGAGTACAGGTGCAAAGCTAACACCTCCTCCCTGCACTGTTTGATATGGGACTTCTTTTTTATATGCGCTCTATTTGCAGCAAGTACACCGAAGTGTGGCATAAGATCTTGTGTAGCACACTGCCATTCTCCTGGAAGATAAGCATGCCCCCTTCGTAGCACTAACCTTTAAATACCACCATGCTGTGTGTCTGATCCATGCTGGAAGTGGACCATCAGCTAAGAAAGCACATACATCTGTTGTCTGTCTTCTAGGAAGCCTTAGTAAAGCAACATGTAACTTTTTGGAAACAATTATACTGTAGTAACTGCTGCCATTATTGTTAGATTTTGAAATCAAATCTGATGAAAAGACATTGTCATATAGCTCCTCTTACAGAGGTGAAAAGCTGAGAGCATTTCACCACCAGCCAGAAAAGAGATGGAGGGAGTACATGCAAGTCCTGGCAATCCCTTCATACCTGCTGTTGCTGGTGTATCTGCTGCTGTGGGACAAGACTGGATGGAGCTGGGGAGGAAAGAGGGCTTGGGATAGAGAACTTTTTGAGTAGTAGTTGGTAAAAACCTCCCCCGAGTGCCCTTATACTGTTTTTCCTGTGGGAGGAATGAGTCACTGATATGAGAAGTGAATAAACAAAGAGTGACAGATCGTAAATGTAACTTATTGACTGGAGCTCAGCGTTCATCTAATGTAGTGGCGTGTTTCTGTGTGTTCATTGTTTGAGATTATAGCTGTTCTCCTACTGAAATCTTGGGGTATGAATATACAGGGTTTCACAGTAGTTGAATGAGCAGGAATATTGAAAAGTTTTGTGTGTGATCCATGCCTTAACGTGCACCAAAAAAAAAAAAAGTTGTAGAACTCCATAGCCAAACTTATACTGTGGATTTGTGAAGGATAACAAATCTCAAATGGTTAAAACTCAAATGATGCAAATGTATAGAGCCCTTGAAACAAACTGTCAAGTTCTGCTTAATAAAGGAAAGGTAGTTAATCACTTCTGCTGTAAATGCATGAGATGTCTCTGATGGGACAAGACAGTGGACTTTGTAATTGCCACTCTTGGGAAACTTTGCACCCAGTGATCTCCCATGTCAGAGGAGAGACAGAAGGCCATAAGCCTACAACGATCCTGTTGGGCAGGAAAATGGGGCAGCCGGGACTTGCTAAAGGTCTGAGCCTGCTATGTCAGAAGAGGGCTGTGTCAAAAATATTTGGGGGGAATCTTTCTTCTTTGTGTACCTTAATCATCAGGCATCCTGTAAGCATAGTTTTTCTGTAAATCTACAACTCTAAACTTTCTGCAGTTTTTAATATATGCTTCCTTTGTTAGCAGGCTGCCACTATTGAAAAGGACTTTCTGTTCTCCCTGTGGAGCATGTATTTCTTTTATGTTACTCATTCTTAACAAAGGTGGGTGCCTCTGAGTCACTTATAGCTCTCATTAAAAGCCTCTGTAGTAGGGTAGAAGGACATAAACCACCAAAGGGTGGGCACAGTGGATGAAGTGAGAGAGACTCTACTCCTTTCTAATAAAAAGCACACTTTGCTGCCACTATAGCACAAGAGAAAAATTAACAAGTAGGGGTGGGTCCTGTCCTGGGGGATCAATTCTAAAATAGGTAGAAAAGGCTTTCCAAGTATGCTTGGTCTCTGCTGACTTGGCACGTTAGGCACATTGTTGGGTGCAGGGCACCATTTGGTCACTCTTTTGAAACACTTGTTTCTGTGTTGAACTTTTAAAACCTACAATCATGACCCTGCACTTAATATCCTGGGGGATCCTTTCACTTTCTGCTGAAAACAGCAAGCTTTTACTCCCACCAAAGAAAGCAGCTGGAAGGGCAAAGATAGAGAGAGGTCTTCAAAGATATCCTAGCTTTGACTGTGGAGGGAAGTTTGATGGTGGGTTTGCCTCTGCGCTGACGTCTTTAACTTCAGCAGATGATGCTGACATGGGAGAGGGTGAGTTGTGTATTTTTTATTTTTTTTTTTGGAAGAAAATACCATCATTGGTTATCAAAAAAAAAAAAAAAAAAAAAAAATCCAAGGAGGAACTTGAGGAATACAGAAACTAAAGCCAACTACTTAATAACTGTTGGTGTAGTTGTCAGCTCTAAAACTTTATCTTAAATCAGAACCTGCTATAGCTATGTAATGGTACAACATACTGATGTACAGTGGGATGTGGAACAAATTTTCTTTCATAACCTTCCTCTGAGTGCTTTTTTTTAATAATAATAAAAAAAAAACTATCAATTTCTTCTTGCTTGTAAAAGAGTAGCTGGAGTCTTTGTAAAGTTAAACCTTAACAGAAAGTTTTTAAAATGCAATGGTCAGTTGCCTTAGTATCAGCTGTGCAAGTTCCTCATTTATTCATGTTATGATTTGATTGCTATGTTAATGCTAAATTAATCATTTGTTTGCAAACTAATTCTCAGATCTTTAAATTACATTTTTTGTGTGTTGATTAATTTTAGTCATCAAATTACTAAAGTAAAACTAGTTTTTCAAAAACTATTTTCTTCTATGTAAATACATGGAATGAAACATTTTGTCAGGAATTTACAAACAATTTTATAGCTGATAATTTAGTTACAGATTTCAGTGTGGAAACAGAATAATTGATCTATTGATAGAATAGTGAAGGTCATCAGCTTATACAGTGTCAAGAAACAACCCATGAGAGTGAAAACAGCAGTTTTCAATCGTGTTCCAAAACTGAACTTCCTAGATGATGTCAAGAAAGATTATTTTGATTACCTGACCTGTTTTCTTGCATCATACAGACTGCGTCAATCAGTGAAATAGTTTCGCTACTTTATAGATAAATTAAATTTTTATTTTAAAATTGCCAGTGGTGGGTAAAGGTAGGGCTTAGTCTTCCCTTTGGCTCTGAGTAACTTCACATTCCCATTGATAGCTTCTATTTTGCATTCTTTATTTGTTTTCAGAATTACAACACGTTGCCACTTAAGGTTTGCAGCTATTTCAGAGTCTTTGTGAACACAATTTTTGTGGTCTTACCCTCCTGAATAATACCGACTGTTGTAATATTTATTAAATAACCTTTTCATCTTTCTGGTTTGTGGAAAAGTAGCTGGTGCCTCTTCTGAGAGACAAGTTCTTAATAATTTGTGTTCCTATTAGTTTTCCTCAGCATGTCACTGAGTTGTCTGGTAGATGTTGCTCATTAAATAGTATCAATTAATGGAAATGCTCTGCATATGTTACTCACTTGTTACTCAAAACTACAATTATAGTATGCGTAGAAGCCTAGTAGTCTGTAATTTATTTTTTTTTTCAGTGTGGGTGGTTGAACCCAGCTCTAAAGCTGCTGCCTTCTGGAAACAGCTAACATTTCTCTGTTTCTTCACTGTAGTCTCCTGCTCCATAGGTAGAGACTGGGGCTGAGACGACTTGATTAGGCTGTCTGTCGGATCAGCTGTATCATGTTTGCCTTCCTAGAACTCTAAGTCAGTCCTGGTCAATCCCAATGTACAAGGAACAATTTTTATGACTGCAGTATAATTAGGAATCCTCTTTAGTCCACTGCTGTATTCGAGTTCATGTATTAATAATTCCTTTTAACATTTAAAAAACAAAATGAATAAAAATTAAAAGTAGTTCATTTAGCTATACCTAGATGCAACCTGAAGAATTAAGAAAATGTTTTTAAAAAATAAATAAAATTCTGTGAAAGTACGAGAAATTGTATTAAAAGTAAGGTATCTTTGGATAGTATTAAGTCAGTACTCCAGCCAGTCCTTGTTTCTCTGGACACTGTGCAAATGCTTGGGATATTGTCCAAATCTAAAATGGGGTATTTTCTGTTGAGGTAAGTGGCTAGTAGAACTGCTCCACAGGGAGAGAGGACTTGCAACCAAACCACAGAGAAGCTCCATAGAACACGAGTCTGGTGAAAGGACTTGCCCAAAGAGAGGAGGCCAGAGCCCCTGGCCTCCTGCATGCAGCAGAGGAGATCGGCCTCGCAGGAGGCCAGGACAGACGCGTTCCTGTTCGGATGCCTCTCACACCACGCTGTTGGCACAGCAAGCGCTGGAACCGTTCGGCTCAAGCTGTTGCACGCTGCACCTGCTGGCACTCAACAGGATCCTGCTCCTGCTGTGTTGTACCGATGCGGCTTTGATGCTTGTCACTTGCTCAGTTGTTCCTTGCAGCGCTCTCCATTGCTGTGTGCAGGCAGATCAAGATCATCTCCTGTGTACCTACACCTCAGTTAACTGCTCTCAGCAGCCTGCCTCAGCTGAGGAGCCCGCGAACCTTCCTGGAGAGATGCCTGTTTTAGCAACGCTTTGGAAGAAAGATAGCATGAACTTGGAGAAACACCACATCTGTTAACAGAGCAGAGCATCTTACAGCTGCTGTGCTGAAATGCTTATGATGTAAATAGCCAGGTTTTGTAGCAAAAGACTACAGCAATCAAGAACAGTTGTTCAAGGCTTTTATAGATCTCTTGTACTCTGTGGAATAAATAAGTAATGAAGAGTTAAGTATATTAGAGGAAGGCACTGAGGCCCTTTAGGGTCCAGTTATTAAATGAGGTTCTCACAGATAGTCCACACTGGGGGGTTTCCTTGAACTGAAAGGAAATAGCTGGTGAGAGTGACATACAGGCTTTTAAGATGGTGACAGTATCTTATGATAGTCATCTGTACCAGCACTTGCACTAAGGAAGAGAGGTTTTTAAGTCCCCCTCTAATTTTTTTCAAAGTTTTCCACTTTGTCAGAGAACCATTTAATTGTAAATACTGTAGTATAATGTACAGGAGGAGAAATGGAAAGTAGGATGTCAGTGGATCACCCTGAAAACATCCCTTTCATGTCCAGGTTTCACTGTGAAGGAGCCAGAGGATCCCTCTGGCTTTGGTAGACTTGCTGGCCAGATGTCAGCCAGCTGGAGACGTTTTCCTGCTGAGGACGTGACTAAAGGCTGAGAAAGAATACAGGCAGTGGGGCCTCCTGGCTATTCCTGCAGGGGACATCCTTCTGTGCATCCTTCTGTGTGCTGCTTCCACAGCTCAGCTGTGGAGAGCCCCTGGCTTGAGGAGACTTGGGAGCACACTGGAGGTGACTGAGAGCTCTAACCCTCAGTTCAGAGGTGGAGAACAGGAGTATGTGACATGCAGGCAGTAACGAGAGAAACGGGAGTGTGCAGCTGATGTTTTGGAAAGCAATCTTTTCCTCCTCATGCAAAAAGAAAAGTAGAAATGGTGGTACATCTAGTTTCCCTTTGCTCAGGTGTCCATGGTATCCTGAATAAGGAATATCATGTGTTAATGGAACAAAGGTATAAGGGGGAAAAAGTCAAAAGTTAGGGTATGCCACTGCTCAGTTCCAATGAGATGTTTAAACAGGTTGGTTCCTTCGGGTAAGTGTCAGTACCTTGGGACACATATTGCTGTCAGTCAGTCCACTGTAAATCTGGGGTTTTATGGAGTTTCTGTGCTCCTGCCAATGCAACTGAGAGTAAACTTTGGCTCTGGTTACATCCATCGAGAGCAAGCTGCAGCTTGCCTTATCCAGAGAAGAATTCCTTTCCACTTTATAAAGTTTTGCTTGAATTGGGACATCTGGATTTGGTACAGTAACACCTAACATTGGGATGTTGCTGTAAACACTTGGGTGTTTACAGAAATGAGAGAAGAATCAGGCCCCTGTTAACTATTTCACAGGAGCATAGGGTTTCTTCCAGGAAAAACATATGTGTAGTCTATGGCAGCATCTGCTCCCAGTATTCTGTTCTGCAGGAAAACCTACATGCACGAAGATTAAAATTAGCTTCCCTTGATTCTTGTGCAAAAATGTCAGCTTGAGAATCTCCTCTGCCTTGCATTTGCTAATTGCACTAATTCCCTTAAGTGTCAGTGAAATTGCAATGGGAGTTGAGCAGCTGTCTCCCATCCTTTGGGAATTCCAGCCTGTGTCTCCCGTGCCAGGGCACGCGTGATTTGATAATTAAACACTTGGGCCTCTGTTCCAAGTGAAGAGTAAATGAGCCACTCTGTAAACTGATGATGATGAATATTTAGTAAATGAGACCTGTCTTTTACATAACCCTTGTACCTGAATCTAAATTTCAGAGACATTCTGGGTTATAAACACTGCATGGTTGCATTTCTGTTCCTCAATTTCTCCATTCAATGATTCAATCATCCCTTCAAAGCAGAAAACTCTTTTATCCTCTTTTTCTGCTTCCTGCAGTTCCTCATTCCTTTCCAGAATATAAGTTTAAAGCCAATAGCCACCGTGACATTTTGGAAGGCAGTTAGTAAAGAAAAGCTTCTGCGAGCTGCTTCAGTGACAGTAAGAACAGCTCATAAGCTGGCATAAGGTGCTGTGGCACAAGTGGCTGTAGCTCTGTGCCAGCGGTTAGCTGGCAGCAAGGAGGAGCTGCTGCTGCTGAGGTGGAATTAACTGGCGGTGGCTCACGTGGACTGCTCATGTCGACACCGAGCGGGTGAGTCAGTGGTAAACAGCGAGCTGGGGCTCTCCCTCTGCAAACCAAGAAAGCATGAGAAACAATCTTCCCTTCGTTTTTCAGAACGCTGGAGCTTTTACAAACAATTGCAAAGGTCATATACAAAACACAAGGCTTTCCTTACTCTGCCCAGAATAATTAAAAGTCTCCCTGACTTGTTTGCCCTTTTGGGGATTTGAGCACCAGCCTTGAGCCTGAGGTGTGGCTGGGACACTGGCCCTTGCTTGAAAGACAGGGAGAGACCACAGTGCTCACTAATGCTGCATGCTGTTGTTGCCAGCCCTATCACTGTGTGACCCAGAAGATCAGTCATCATGCAATTAAAAATCTCCTGTTGCTGGAGATCATCTCTTCCACCAACTGCATTTGCCGTAACATTATTGTGAAGCTGAATATCATCTATCTATTAGTAATGCAATACTCAGTATTTCCTTGTTACTTTTCGTAGAGATTTCATATACACTCCAACGGAGGGGGAAAATATAGCAGGAACTTCCTCTATCAGATCACTGTTCAGCTTAAGAGCTGTTCTTCCCACATGATAAACAGGAGAGCCCTCTGATCTGCCCTGGACAAGCACACGTGTCCATGTTCCAGTGCTCCAGGAGACTTGTTTTGGACCAAGCCTTCTGGCACTTGGCAGTGAGGTGCCTTTCTGCTGGTTCACCTGTAAAAGAGGGTGAAATGTGGATGGGACTGAGGGCATTTGAGGGCAATACTTATGTGGAGTGGTGCCAAGGTGTCATTTGA